GTTACGCGGTTCAATAACAGATTCTGTCCCTAAATCTAGCTGTTCGGTTAGAATGTTGCCTAGTCTACGCGGAATAACCTACCCAAGTAGGAGCGTGTGGGCTATCCTCTCACTACCACAGTTTCAGTTTCCTTTTGCAATTCCTAAGGTTTTGAACTGGGAGTGCGGGGAGTCGGACGTGGGGTGTTTGGGGACTCACTTCGCCTGTCAACCAGGGGGTGGGGTTGTAATCGCGTAACCAGTTTTTCAAGTTCCTAAGGTTTTTGAAACCCCTGCTTGCAAACGTATACTGTTGCTTGGTGCTCAGGTGATCAAAACAACGAGGAGCTGCAACTGTTGAGCGTAGTAGAACAACGTGGGATGCAGCTGATGTCTCCATGCTTCCTGCACCTGGCAAGATTCTACGCCTGAACCCTCAAAATGCTGCTCCCATCAGCCACATTTCTTCCGCACGCGCACCCCCCACCCGATCCACCCAACTTCTTCTGTACTTGTTTTCGACACGGTGCTGCTCGGTTCTTGGTTCTCAGAGCTCATTGCCACTGTCATGCCCACCACCACCGCCCATGCTGTAGGGTAACTTGCTGGCGATTGCTGGTCTTTTCCATAGTGAACACCTTCTCGGAAGTCCGCTGTGACTATTGGCCACAGTCGTTTTAGCATGCCGTTGTAGCACTGTTCACCCCCACTTAATCAGCACCAGCGGGTGGGTCCACATCACCGCAAGCACCATAGTCCTACAAAATAGGAGGCTATGGTGTAACGACACCGGGTTTCTGTGCTGGAGTGTCGTGACACTCTGGTTGGTAGCTCTTGCCCAGACCAATCCGAAATTGCCACGACGATGGATTACCACATCAGCTTGCAGCATCTTGAGGATTCTGTGCTGGCAAGCGGCCGCCCAGGAAGACAGTAGTGGGCCCTACTAGGAGACGAAAGCGGCCAAACAAAGCTGCTTCCTCCGCGACGAAAGGCGTTAAAGACGAGTGCTCGCTTTTGTCGGCGCCAGCTTGGCAGTCGCAAGGGCGTGCGGAAGGGAAGCGGGTCGCGCAAGGACAAATTAGGAGCAGAACTTCTGTTCATCCGCACGACGGGTGTTTGTCGGCTCTTGTTTGCTTGCAACAAACTAACGACAAGGACTCTCCATACATCGTCTCGCGTGCGCCGATGGACGCGCGTGACGCGGCGGACGAGTGGTGGTTTGAACTTGTAGTCCTCGCGAAAATCTCTCATTCTCAGCCGCTCCTTCCGTGCACAAGCCGCGAAAGGCGAGGGTACAGTCACTCTCTGTTACCTTTAGGGGGCTCACAAATCAGAAGGCGGTGGTTGCTGCCAGAAATGCATCATCGTCGAAGCACACTCAACGGTCGCGTCGCGAACCGACTCTACATGGCATGGGGGCGGACGGCGTCATGCTATTCGCCAGAAACTAGCGCATTTCAAATTTCAATGTCCGATAAGCGTTCAGCCCGCACCACATTGCTGCTGGTCGTGAGCTTCAATTTACATCGCATCTGGTCTCTGGATTTGGCTGCATCGTCACCATTTTCGTGGCAGCTTCAACATTGATTAGAAAAGCAAATTGCGGCGCGTCGAGGACCTCAACACGTCAACGATGACAGCTTTACAAAACGCGGAAGCGGCGTGAGAGGAGAGATGAGTTTCTCTGCTGTTCAAGTATCACTTGAGCTCGCAATAGAGGTCAAGGTTCTTGCTCATGGCCGCTGAAACCAAATTCCACTACTAGTAGCCACCAAGCATCTATCTTTCCCCCCGCTGTTGCCGCATGTTCTTGTCGAAGCAGCTGCCAGCACAATGGTTCCGATAGTGATTCTCAGGCCAAAGAGGAACTCGCTGCTGCAGAAAATTCAATAAGTGCGTCAGGTCGTTTCGCCACGGCTGCGAATATCTTAGACGGAATTAGCGGAGGATTTCGCGGTTCACAGCAATCACCCCCTAGGCCGTCGAACACGGGTTCCCGAGAAAGACAGGAAATGCGTCCCAGATGGGGCTCGATAGGTTTAGGAGCGCGAGGTTGCGAAGATCCAGCTTCCACTGGCAGTCACGGCGAAGGATAAATGCTATGCCGCGGTTTGCGGCGATGAAGCGGCTCGTTCTAGCGCCGCCGGAGTTGTACGCCGAGGAACAATAAGGTCGTCATTGACGGACGAACTGAAGACGGTGACGGACGAGCTGAACGAAATCCTTCATTCAGCTCCAGACCAACGTGGCGGCGTCGGAAAAGCGGGTTTTACGCAACCTGCGTAAGCGCGGCGGAATTCGCGGGCTGTTTCGGTCGAAGGCAATCAAGGAACTGGTAACCAAGCAGCTACCGTCGCAACATCAAATGCTCAGCTCCAGCAGTGGTCAGCACGAGAAGCAGCACAGCACAGCACGAGCAGCAGGAACAAGGACTCCTTGGCGATATGGCGAAAACGCTACTACCAGCTTGGTAACTCGTACCCAAAGGCTCAGCTGCAAGAAACCCGCCCTCTGCTTGTGCGAACGCTGGCGAAGGCACAACCGGGAAGATGAGATCAGGGACGAAATGAGCAAAAGGGACGAAATGGAGTCCATCGGGACGGTGGAAAAGGTCCAGATTGGGTTCGTTGGTCCAATTTTTCAAATGACACGAATGTACAGCAGCCAGGGCGCTTGATGAGGCAGCCATACCGCGGACGAATCCGAATCCACAGCCAAGCAGCAGATGGAGCAGCCAAACCCACGGCCGAACCAGCTTGTGCCTGCACTTCCGGTGCAACTACCCAGTAACGAGGATAATTTGTACAGTGTGACTACAAGACCGTTTGATTTTTTGCAGCCAGATACAGTGAAGCTGCAAGGGGCGGGGGGAGGAACAGATGAACTGCTAAGCCAAGCACAAATACAGCAGGTGCTGCTGGCCGCATTGATGGACGAAACTCCCTTGCCTCCGCCCGACAACAAAGCCAGCACCCTTTTCTCTGATTCTTATCGTCAGGGTTCCGTCACCCCCGCTGCTCGTCGACTCGATGCTATGTCGCCTCCTGCTGCGAGGCTTACCGCGTTTGTTCCTGGTCCCTTTTTTGCCGGAGATGGCAATGGCGATGCCATTGGTCCGGTTACAAGTGTCGCTGGCGCAGCTGCTGCTGCTGCTGGTGCTACTTTTGGTGCAGTAAGACTCCCTTTTTTCTGCTCCAGCCGAGAGCTATGATGCTGCCGGTGCAAGCACATGTGTTGCTGCTACAAGCATGGGTGGTGCTGCGACAAGCATGGGTGTTGCCGCTACAAGCACGCATGTCGCTGCTACAAGTACGGATGGTGCTGCTGCATGCATGCCTGTTGCTGCCACCAGCACAGGACCTCCCAGGAGGAGACACAACCGCAGGGGGGAATGCCGCTAGGAGGTTGCAGCGTGAGACGTCTCGAAACCACGGCATCTAAATCAGGGAGCGACAGGAGCGACCGCGGGGGCCTTGGGAACGTGGGGCGGAGGTTGCTGCATGAGAAGCCTCAGGCCACGGCGTCCAAGTCGGGGAGCGGTGGGGACAACCGAGGGGCCCTGGGGAATGTGGGGCGGAGGCTGCTGCGTGAGACACCCCAAACCACAACATCCAAGTCGGGGAGCGACGGGGGCGATGTGGGCGCTGCGGGGAGCTCAGGCAGGAGGTCGCTGCACCCCCGCGCTGCAAGGGACAGAGAGAGGAGAAGACAAATGGCGTAAGTGGCACGGGTACTTATTTCCCAAGGGTATGCATATGTTTGGCTAGCCTCAGCTAAACCAGGGGTGTAGCCCCCCTTGCCACTCATTCTCGCTCCCTTTCCTTCTTAGAGACCCTTTCCAGCATCCCCTCTTCTGCCCACTTCGTATCTCCCTGTACTGTGATCCCATGCTCATTATTTTTGCCCATGCTTTTTTTAGTTTTCACTCGTTCACTTCACCTGCTGTGGGGCTTGAAGCTCTCACCTGTGATTCTTTAGGCGACTCATCTATGAATCCAGTTCAGAGTATGTTCTGTCTCTTATGGCTAAGGTGTTTTGGCTCTTCTGGTTTGCATTCCTAATGGGTGTGCTGCAGTGAGTCACTTCAGTCACTCAGGGCCATCCTGCCAGTTGGCATCCTGGGGGGGCAGCAAGACTTTGGCTCCATCATCAGCACTGCAGCACAGTATATAAGAAGCATGGAGGTGAGTATAGTACCTGTATTTCCAGGCAATCCACTCGCAATAGCAGTCATTCTCATGAAGCTGCAATGCAGCAAGGCGCAGCAGCAGGTCTCTATGCCTATTCCCTTGCATGCGCCTGTGCATATCGTCTTTGCTTTACCTGTTAGCGAGGTTGCATTGCTTGCCGATATGGCTGCATTGTCTTTGTATATCTCTCTTCATGTGTACAGGCACGTGTGCGAGAACTGGAAGCCACTGCAACCAATCGGAGAGCGCCACCTCATGGCAATTGAGATGGCAATTGCTGCTGCTCACCATTTATTTGTAAATAGAAACTGTGTTGCCAGTCATTGTACTGCCATAATCATGTACCTACACGGTATGTATCATACGGTATACGAACAGACTAAATTGCTGCAATTGTTTCCACAGGATGTAATGCATCTAAAGGTGGATGGTGATTGGTGGGAGGTGCTTGGGAACGGAGGGACTCAAATGTGACTAGGATTGGATGTACGGTAAGGATAGAAAACGTACACCAAATGCACCAGGGATGAAGTTCTGAGACGTTTGAGGAGGTCTCTCTGCCCAGATCTCACATTCAGCTGTCTCATTCCAACTGCATTGTCATTCAGCCGTTCAAACTAGTGCGCAGGTGGCTGGAAACAAGAGTTTGAGACGGCATTTGATACGGTACGGTACTATGGAGATGCGTCTAGTACAACATCACATTCCAAGTGAATAATTCCGATACAATCATTGGAGGCGCGGTCTCAGAGACACACGCACCGGCCACCAGTGCTTCGTAACCAAAATGCAGACTCGCGCTCTTGGTGACTCGAGAGGCGCTTGCAGTCATTCAAAGTGCATGGTGGGATACTCATGCACCAGGCGGTTGTAATCGTAGTAAAGCCTTTCGCCCTTGGCAATTCGCCGGGTGGCAATCAGCAGTGCACGGGCCTCCCCATTCACACTGAAGCGAACACAGCGCAGGTTGATCTTCCTGCGACCCTCTTCTGGAGGAGCAGGGAGGAGCGGGGCAGAGAGCAGAAGGGCAGGGAAGGGGGAGAAACGGAGTGTGGGCAAGAGTGAAGGCAAAGCTCTCCCTGGGAGGGAGTGGGAGTCTCCCCATTCACACTGGGGAGGGCCATACCGAAGGTTGATGTTACCGCCAGTCCTCTCTGGAAGAGCAGGGGGGAAAGGGGGAAGGGAACAAACAAGGTGACCGTAATGAGGGAAAGAGGTTGAGTGTGAAGGAGGCAATAACGAGGGGCAGCAGCAAGGGACTGTGCATGGGGAGGACGCTTCTAGGGGCAGTAGGCACAATGGCATTGGAATGAGGACAGCAGATCCACACACAGAAAACAAGCAAAATTCGGCCACTCAGGTACTATTGTCTTACAGCCAACTCACTTGGTGTGGTTGTTGATTCCAGATATGAACCGCGCAAAAGTTTGCCGCCTGATCCGGGCAGATGACCAAATCCGTCTTATCCCGCCCCGTGAACAGCAACCCCATCATGGCATCGCAGGGGTCGTGTCGCCTCCGCGCCATGCTGTCCACCACCCCCCCATACTCCGTGACGATCGTGCGATCCGCTATAGGCGCATCCGCTTCCACTACAAAGCTGCCAACAAGGGAAGGACGGTTGGAGTGGGAACGGAGATGAGGTGTGGGAACGGGGTGTGGAAAGAACTTACTTTAGGCCCATTTACTATTTATAGTAAACTTACCCTTGGCAAGGGTCGTGCTTGACAATTAGTGGAGGAGGCGCTCCGTCCCTCCACATCTCTTTGCACCGCTCCAAAACACCCACATTCTCCCGACTCAGCACCTGCATCCCCCCCACCTCCCTCCCTGGCTCGTTCATCCCCCTAGGCACGGCTTTAAAGGGGTAATCCAACCCATCCACGAACCGCGCCCCGATAGCTGTCAGAGCGGTAGCTAGAGACCTAAGCTGCTCCAGACGTCTCTCAGGGTCCGGGACAGGCCGATGGGGGAACAGCTTTCTGCTCAGCTTCACTCGGGTCTGCCTCTTCCTCCTGCCGCTGCTACCACTGCTCGGGAGTTTCTTTCTCCCGCAACTGTTGCTGGCGTGGGAAGCAATGCTGCCGCTACCTGTGTTAGTAGTTAACCCATCGCCGGTGTTAGAAGTTACCCTACAGCCGTCAGTGTCGGTGATTATGCTCTCGTTCCCACTCCCGCCGGTATCACTGCCGCCACCAGCCGTTGCGTTTCTGCTGGCAGTGCTGCGCTTAGTTCTGCACAAACAGCCACTGCAGGCGCCCAAACCGCTATTAGCAGAAGCGCCTGCGTTACTAGGGTTACTCGCACCTAAGCCTTTAGAGTCAGCACCGTTTCTAGAGCTACCGCCTATGCTAATCCTAGCAGCATCTACGCTGCGAGTCTGACTAGCTCCTACGCTCCTACAGTCAGCATCTGCGCTGTTCCTGCTCCTACTCCTACCACCGCCAGCCGCCGCATCACCAGCACCCAGTACCACGCTGCTTGATGCTTGTCGGCTGTGCTCCGTTCGCCGTGTGGTAACTTCGCTGCTCTGCCCGCTGCTATCTCCCTCCCCGCTCCCCGCCACGACAGGTTTCTTTCCAGGTGTCCTATTAGCAGGGGTTACATCAGGTTTGCCGGCGCTTCTGCCGGCCGCGGCAGGTGTTTTCTTAGGTGAGAGGCCAGGGGGCGCTGAATGCGGAAAAAGTCGACGATTGAGCTCTGCACCAGGGGGAAATTCTGGGACCGCGGGGAACGGTTTTTGAGGGAGGCGGGGCGGCGGGAGAGGGGGACGTCAGGGAGGAAGGGAGTGAGGAAGGGAGGGAGAGGGGTGGGGAAGGGTTGAGAGGAATGGGTGTGTGAGACATGCGACCTAAACGGGATTCGAGAACGTGCAAGATAAATAGCAGACGAGAGTACGGGTGTGATACAGGCGAGTTACTAGTAGAAGGGTGACTCAGTGTTCGATGAAGGAAGGTCAGTGCCGTACCTCTGGCTTCGGTTCGGAACCCGTACCTCTGATTTTGGCTGGGCGGCGGCAGTCAGGGCAGAACCACTGGCCGAGGGGCACAGCGACGAGGATTGGTCGCAGGCACCAGAGGTGGTAACCACGGTTACACCCACGTCCGTCGCACACAAGCATTCCGTCTTCGCCGTCTTCCCGGCCGCACACGTGGCACTTCAAATCGTCCAGCCCAGCGTCTGCAGGCGGCTCAGAGCGGTCGCTTCTGTGAAGCTGCTGCTTCACCTCTCGCACGTTTCCTTCCACCACCACCACCTCCTCCACATCCCCCTCGTTCTCATCGTCAGAGCCCGCCTCGTCGCTGTTCTCCTCGTTTTCATCGTCGCTGTCCCCCTCGTCGTCCTGCGACGATCCGGCTTCTCTGATCACATCCAGGCCGTGTAACTCGGTAACATCGTCTGCATCTTCGTACAGCTCGTCGTCGTCTTCGGCAAGATCCACCACTAGCTGTTCTCCGGCGTCGCTCACGGATCCACAGTTGCTCCCACTCGCCCTCTCACGTGCCTCCGAAGCGGGCTTGAACGTCCATGTCGCCTTGTCGACAAGCCCTCCTCTCTGTACAGCAAGTCGCGTCTGTACGGTTCCTCGTCCCGCGACATTCCCGTTGCAAATCTCGCTTAATTTCACGGGAATGCTGGCTGACGAGTTCGTATGGTCGGTCTGTTTCTTGGCTGCGTGACTTAAAGCCCGAGCAGACAATGGTTTTGTGACGGTAAGCAGCGAGTGGATGTCGACGCATTTCTTCTTCCTCGCTCCGTCGACGTTCGCGAAGGCGATGTTGCTAGCATGGCCTCGCTTGTTACCAGTCACCGCCATTTCGCGTCTAGGATTGACTTATTCGTGTAATTGGACTCGGCGGCATACCAGCATTACCTCAGAAACAAAACGCGAAACACATGCAACAGCTCCTTGCAATGTGCTGGTAGTTGGTCTAGGAGACGAGACTGGAAAAAAATACCACGTATATGCTGCCAGACAAGCCTATTTCACCAGCTAGCATAGAAACTGCTCGAGTGATGAAGCATCACAAAGAAGAATGAGAAAGAATGGCAACTTCGAGGCCCATGGTCGAAGTTTACACGATGCATGAAGGGGAATGCTTTCAGGAGGAGCATGGATGGTAGTGTTGGAGGGCTGGCAGCGAGCAATTATCCAGGAGCCCAGAAAGTTACCCATCCATCCCATTCCAAGCGGCTTCCAAGGCTGAAAAGTGCCACATTTCCGCGCCAAACCAGCCAACTCTCCGCCGAGGTGTTTTGTGCTGGCCTTTGGCTGGCTGGGATGGGATCATGGGACCTGTGCGACAATCTCAGAGTCGGGGCGATTCGATGTGGTTGTGGCGGCGTGCCAACTTCCCTCTGCGCTTGCGCCAAATATTTGCGCGAGCCACTGCACAACGGCCATCACCATTCAGCCGTTGATACAGTAAAGAAATTCAGTACTGTATAGAACAATTGATGCCAATCACACACAATTACGGAATGCACTGATAGCGCGTTTGAAACAGGCATCCTCAGCTGCGTTGTCTCATCATCCACGTGGCAGCTTCTGACAGTTCCTCCAACCCCTTTCCCCATCCATGACATGGCATCCAGGGATTCGGGCTCCAGTAAAGTTGGTGAGGATAGCGCCTCCTTGGCGATTGCGATTGTATGAACTCGAGGACCCAGCTTGAAACGAGTATCCTTGTGTCATCATCACACCACTGAGCTCACAATTGACAAGGCAGTGAGTGGCTGGGAGAATCCCAAGGTAGGAAGCTTTGAGCCTTTCCACCATACCGCATGCTGTTTGCAACGCTCTGGAATCTTTCCGCACCGTACTAAAACACATTCACCCAGCAAAGAGTTGTGATGTCACAACCTTTTTATCTGCTTCATTGCTCATTTCTCTACCTCTCTTCCTTACCTTGTTTCGCCTAGCGAACTTCGTCGGGTTGCTGTTGGGAACGGTATCACACCCCTATTAGCCCTACCGCGGTACTCTGTAGTGCCCAAACAGGCTAAGCGATTATCGTTTCTCGACTGTCTCTTGTAGTTTCGACTGGAAGTGCAGTTGACAGGCATGGAGTCGCTCCTCCTAAAAGGAAGCACAACGCGGCCGCTTCCAAGCTTTCAAGGCCTTCGTGCCACGCAAACACCTCTCCGCCAGAGCTTTTCCGCCTCGTCGTTGCCAGCTCAGCAATGGCGCAGCGCGTCGAGCAAAACCCTAGTCCGTGCAGCAGCAGCAGAGCAGGCCGATGCTACTCCCAGCAGGAGCTCCAGCGGAAGCGTTTTCGGCCGGGAGGTCGAACTCTCCGGCGTTCCCAGCGTCGTTAAGAGCATGCCGACGCCGGTTAGATACGCCGTCTGCGGCGCGATTATCGTTGGTTCTGCCGGCGTGGGGTTCGCGGCCGGCAGCAAGTTTCAGCCGCCTGTGGGGCAGGTGGCTGGTGCCGTGGTGCTCGGCGTGCTTGGCGCGGGAGCCGCGCACGTGGTGAACTCTGCTAGTAAGGAGGTCGCTGCGGCGGATTTGCACAACACGCTTGTGCGCTTATCGGATCCGCTTCAACTGAGACGAGGCGAGGCTGCGGATATCGCAAACAAGTGAGCTGGGACTGGGAGCTCCCTTTCTTTCCTAATCCAATCCGTCATTTATATTATTGCGCAATAATGTCGATTTAATGTACACGGATATTATGGATCGTTGTGAATGTTTCTCAGCATTTCACACTTCGTGGCTTTGTTCGCCTCTGTGGTTTTTACAGGTATGGCGTGAGCTTGGAGGATGAGAGGTACCGGGCGGAAATGAAGGATCTCTACGAGAAGTAAGCATTCCCTTCTCTTGCTCCTTCCCCATTATCTCTTCCCCTTTCCCCTCTTTGTCGGCTCCCTCCTTTCCTTTTCTTTTCTCACAACACCACAAATAAAAAGTAATGGGAACAAATCGCACTAACACGGTGGCCTTTGGGACCCATGCTATGTGATTTATCATGTCGAGTCACTGACACGCGTTCCGGTCCTCACTTTTCTTTTCCTCCCCCTCTCCTGCGCTCCAGATTTGTGTCGTCCGTGATTCCTCCCGGCAACGAGCCGCTGAGGGGCGACGAGTCGGATCTGATCTCGCGCTTCAAGGCGTCGATGGGCCTTGAGGACGAGGATGCGGCTGCTGCTCATATCGAGGTACGGGACCGCCTATATCGAATGTATTGCTGTTCTTATCGAGTATGTATAAACTACTCATAACGTCGTATGCCGCCTTCACTGTTCATATCGAGTTAAGAAGTTTTTTCTTCTTGTGGCGAGCTCACAACGCTTGTCTATATCGAGCTAACAGTACTGTTCATGTCAAGCCGACGCCACTGTTCATATCGAGCTAATGGCTCTGTGCGTGCGTGTGAATGGGTGCATAATGTGCGAGTCCGTGCAGGTGGGGCGGCGCATTTTCCGCCAGAGGCTGGAGACGGGCGACAAGGAGGCCGCCTTTGAGGAGCGACAGGTAGGCGAAGGGTCGCGAGGTGGACGAAGGATTGCGAGATGGGCGAAGGATTTCTAGATGGGCGAAGGATTGGGAGATGGGCGAAGGATTGCGAGATGGGCGAAGGATTGCGAGGCGGGCGAAGGATTACGAGGCGGGCGAAGGATTGATAGGCAGACGAAGGATTAAGAGGTGGGCGGAGGAGCGAGGGGTGGGCGAAGGAGCGAGATTCTTGCAGAGAAGCAAGTGGTCGTGTAGGACTGGAAGAGGTACGCTCGTAGACTTGTTAGCGGGTGGCTGGCAGGTGGCGAGTGGCTTTGCAGAGAGGTGGTTGACATCTGGCAGTACGTGAGTCCTCGCACGTGGTGGAGGTCCATTTAAAGAGGATTTGATACGTCGGATGGATTCAGATGGACGTGGCATGTGAGGGTTCGGGGTTTAAGCATTCGACTATGTCCGGCAACAGCGCTGGTCTCTAGACAGCTAATTAACCACCCATCCCCCCCACCCCCCCTTTTCGCCGTTTCCCCCCGTTCCCTGCGACTGCAGTCGTTCCAGAAGCTGGTGTACGTGTCGAACCTGGTGTTTGGCGAGAAGTCCAAGTTCCTGCTGCCGTGGAAGCGCATCTTCAAAGTCAGCGACGCGCAGGTCGACATCGCCGTGCGCAACAACTCACAGGCGCTTCTGCAGGCGCAGCTCGACGCCAGCAAGGGAGGTGAGAGGCGGTCTTGCTCCCCCGTTTGTATAAATTGTCGCATTGCTGTGTGCTTCTGAGCTGGTCGCATCGCCGTCACCCTCTGTTCGGGACTGCTAAGAGATGAAACGAAAACACTGAGGTCTTTTTGGTCGCCATTAAATATATGAAACGAAGATACCATCAGTCACTGCTGCTCTGTGGGGTTTCCAACTTGTCTATGTTGCTGTTGCCCTTCTTCTCCACCAATCAGATTTCACAGTGGACAACCTCAAGGAACTCCGGGCGCTGCAGAAGAAGTACAAGCTCTCGGACGATGTGAGTGGCCGACTGGTTACACTGCATTCTCGTTACTGTAACACTCGTTACAGTGCAATGTATTGTATGCTAAATTTGGCTTGTAATGGTTTACACCCGACTGAGTGCACCACATTCTTATAAACCATAAAAGTTTCACAACTATCAGGAGTATGTTTCAAACCTGGGGCTCGGTTTTGATGCACACCCTCTTGTTGCCTTCTACCCTCCGAACCTCTCAGCTTGCTGCGGACATGGTTCGGGCGGAGGCTCGGAAACGAGTGGAGGAATACATTAACGAGGCGCTAGAGGTGCTCAAGGCGCGCACACGCGTCAAGTGAGTGTGACTGCAACGGGGGAGGAGAAGGGGAAGGGGGCGAGGGAGGAGCTAAAGGCATGCATACGCATCAAGTGAATGTGACTGCAAGGGGGGGATGTGCGAAGGGCTTGAAGGGGTGTGCGAAACAGACGCTGTACAAGAAACCAGAACAAACCAAGATGGGTTTTGATGCTGATGACATGGCACGAGGAGAGGAGGGCGTGAACCCCCACTTGCCTGGCATAAGGGGATTTAGTGTATGTGATCCAGGCCAGGCACCCAAAAAGACCCTCCCTCACATACCCTGCTCCCCCATTACCCCCTTACCCCAAACCTGAGGTGGTGAAGCAGAGACATGGCCAAGGTGGTGGGCGACCCGAACTTGCATGAGGGGGTGTCAACGCGCATCTGCCTGGCATGAGTCAGTCAGACCCCTTGACGCGCATCTGGCTGAAACGCGCATGAGCCTGGCATGAGTCAGACCCCTTCCCTCGTCCTTCCCTCCTCTCCCCCCCTTCCCTCGTCCTTCCCTCCTCTCCCCCCCTTCCCTCGTCCTTCCCTCCTCTCCCCCCCTTCCCTCGTCCTTCCCTCCTCTCCCCCCCTTCCCTCGTCCTTCCCTCCTCTCCCCCCCTTCCCTCGTCCTTCCCTCCTCTCCTCCCCTTCCCTCCCCATCATCACCGCAGGGACATGGCGAAGGTAGTGGGCGATCTGGATGCCATGAGAGCATACAATGCGCACCTGGCTGCCTGGCAGGCAGGGAGGGACAGCAGATCCTCAGTGCGCCACTACGTACCCATTTTCTCCCCTTACCCCCCACTCACCTCTCCCTCCCGCACCCCCCCCCCCCCCCCCACCCCCCCTCCTCCCCTCCACCCCCTCTCATCACCCCAGGGACACGGCTAAGGTGGTGGACGACTTGGATGCCATGAGGGCATACAATGCACATCTGGCTGCGCTCGCCAAGGCTGCTGCTCCTGACGACCTCCTGCCCGGCATTGGCCCCGTCTCCGTCTTCGGTGCGCCTCTCTTCGCCATCTAGCTGCTATGCTTGTAACCATTTTACTTTCTGCACCGTCTGTTCGCTCCCGACGACCTTCTGCCCGGCATCGGCCCCGTCTCCGTCTTCGGTGCGCCTCTCTGTGACGTGTCGCTCCAGCTGTTCGGATTTCTTAGTTTTTTTTTTTTTTCCTTCTCGTTTTGGGAGCTTACAAGTGAATTGCAAAGTTTCGTATAATTAGCCTGCTTGCGCGCCAGCTCGTAAGCGTTTCGCACTGCTTTGTACTGCTTCACTTACCATTCATAGCAATTCATTGCATTGCTTTGCATGGCATTGCATCCCATCTCATTAAATGGCATCTCACTGCATCCATTCCCACCGCACTGCACCAGGTGGCGGGTACGACACGGACAGGCAGATGGACGATCTGAAGCTGCTCTACAAGACATACCTCTCGGAGGCCCTCACTGCTCCCCGCCTCACCTCCGCCCAGGTGGGTCTAGATACCACATGGTACACGCATTGCATCCATCCCCACCGCACTGCACCGCACCAGACGATCTGAAGCTGCTCTACAAGACATACCTCTCGGAGAGGCCCTCACTGCCCCCCGCCTCTCCTCCGCCCAGGTGAGTCCTGGTAGCACTGGTACACGTTGCATTCCATTGCACCCATCTCCACCGCACTGCACCGCACCGCACCAGGCAGATGGACGATCTGAAGCTGCTCTACAAGACGTACCTCTCGGAGGCCCTCACCGCCCCCCGCCTCACCTCCGCCCAGGTGGGTCTAGAAACCACATGGTACACGCATTGCATCCATCCCCACTGCACTGCACCGCACCAGACGATCTGAAGCTGCTCTACAAGACATACCTCTCTGAGGCCCTCACTGCCCCCCGCCTCTCCTCCGCCCAGGTGGGTTTTGGTAGCACATGGTACTCTTGCATTGCATTGCACCCATCTCCACCGCACTGCACCGCACCACACTCTACAAGACGCACCTCTCAGAGGCGCTCAAAATGCCACTCATGCCGTTAAGGGTGCTGATCTGATCCGACTGACTGAATGGTGACGACAGGTCACAGCACATTCCTTGCCTCTCCCTTATTCAAACATTCTTCCCCCTTTCAACCTCCCGCACTTTCACTCAGACGGAAGCGCTGGCGGAGCTGAGGAATACCTTTGGGATGGGCAAGAGGGAGGCGGAGGAGGCATCAGACGAGATTTTACTGATGTGTGATGTGACTGACTCACACATGCCATTACGTCCCGTCCATGCCCTTTCACTCAGACGGAAGCGCTGGCGGAGCTGAGGAATACCTTTGGGATGGGCAAGAGGGAGGCGGAGGAGGCATCAGACGAGATTTTACTGATGTGTGATGTGACTGACTCACACATGCCATTACGTCCCGTCCATGCCCTTTCACTCAGACGGAAGCGCTGGCGGAGCTGAGGAATACCTTTGGGATGGGCAAGAGGGAGGCGGAGGAGGCATCAGACGAGATTTTACTGATGTGTGATGTGACTGACTCACACATGCCATTACGTCCCGTCCATGCCCTTTCACTCAGACGGAAGCGCTGGCGGAGCTGAGGAATACCTTTGGGATGGGCAAGAGGGAGGCGGAGGAGGCATCAGACGAGGTGACGCGCAAGGTGTACCGCCGCAAGCTGGCGAACCTCGTCACGGGCGGCGAACTGGACCGGGCGGCAAGCAAGGCCGAGGTGCTGCAGGAGCTCTGCGACTCTCTCAAGTTCGACCCTGAGAAGGCTGCCCAGATTCATGAAGGTATGGGGTGGTGTGTCGAGGAGTTTTGTTGCGGTTTTGTGCGGTATGAAGCGGTGGAGTGTGGCTGGCTGGGTTTATACTGAGAGGGTGGCAAGCAAAGGCCGAGGTGCTGCAGGAGCTCTGTGTTTCGCTCAAGTTCGACCCCGAGAAGGCGGCTCAGATTCACGAAGGTATGGAGTGCGGTGCTCTGCGGTGGATAGGCATGAAGTGCGGTGTCAAGTGGTGCTGCAGGAGCTTGACTCTGACAAGCTTAATCAGTCCAGTGCGTTTTTTTTCTGGGTAGGGACTAAGGCGCGTCAAAGAGCGATGAAAATCTCTATCATTTCACCGCACTTGACCCCATTCCACTGCATGCCCCCCTCCTCCACCTCCCTCCCCCACCTACCCCTCCCCCCCTCCTCTCCTGCAGAGATCTACCGGCAGAAGCTGCAGCAGTGTCTGGCGGACAAGTCTCTCAGCGACGAGGACGTATCAGCTCTGAACCGCCTGCGCGTGCTGCTGTGCGTGCCCAAGTCAGCGGTCGACAAGGCCCACGGGGACATCTGCGGGGGAATCTTCACCAAGGTGGTGGACGATGCCATCGGCGCCGGTATCGACGGCTACGATGGCGACATGAGGGATGCTGTCAGGGCCGCCGTGAAGGGGCTCCGGCTGCCGCTGCAGTCTGCTTTGGAAATTGCTACCAAGGCGGTGAGTACACTGTTGGGGCTGGGGAGTGCTGGGTTGGTTGGGAAGCAGCAACCGAGGGAGGGCCGCTGTCAAGGGGCTGCGGCTGCCACTGCAGTCTGCTCTGGAAATTGCCACCAAGGCGGTGAGTGCGTGTGGGGTTGGATGGGGACAGTTGCGGGGCTGTGAGGGGCAAGCTGGCATTGTTGACGGCTACGATGGCGACATGAGGGATGCTGTGTGGGCCGCTGTCAAGGGGCTGCGACTGCCACTGCAGTCTGCTCTGGAGATTGCTACCAAGGCGGTGAGTACATGGGGACAGGATGGGGTACACAACATGCGTGATGCTGTGGTTTTGAGACGGCTCAAAACTCGAAACTTTTGAGACGGCTCAAAACATGGGGACAGGATGGGGTACACAACATGTGTGATGCTGTGGTTTTGAGACGGCTCAAAACTCGAAACTTTTGAGACGGCTCAAAACATGGGGACAGGATGGGGTACACAACATGCGTGATGCTGTGGTTTTGAGACGGCTCAAAACTCGAAACTTTTGAGACGGCTCAAAACATGGGGACAGGATGGGGTACACAACATGCATGCGTGATGCTGTGCGCGCTGCCGTCGAAGGGCTCCGGCTGCTGCTGCCGTGAGTGGACGCCTTATAGCAGTGGGCGAGATAGTGGGTGCAAGAGAGACAGCATATTAAGATATGGTCGTTCTCTGAAGCCTCGCCTTCTCCCTGCTCCCTCCCTCCTAGAGGACTAAGGCTTCTGAGAGGTGAGGAGGCAATGAGGCATGAGCGTCTCTTCCTTCCCCCTCGAGAGGTGAGGAGGCAATGAGGCATGAGCGTCTCTTCCTTCCCCCTCTTCCCCGCCCTCTGTCCTCTACCATTCCAGATGCGAGCTGTGTTCCTGACATACATCAAGCGCGCACGAGGCACCATGAGCCGTGCGGAAGGTGCAAGGGAGCCTCATTTAGATGGTCATCTTCTCCAACCTCACCTCGCTTTCCTCCCCTCCTTGTACATGACCCTCCTCCCCGCTCTCCCGCCCTCTGAGTCTTTCTTTTCCCAGGTGCGAGCTGTGTTCCTGACATACATCAAGCGCGCACGAGGCACCATGAGCCGTGCGGAGGGCGCAAGAGAGCTCAAGAAGATGGTCAGCTTCTCCAACCTCACCTCGCTTTCCTCCCTGCCTTTCCTCCCCGCCCTTTCCTTCCCTCTCTCCTCCTCTCCCGCTGTCCAAATGTCCCTCCCTTCCAGGTGCGAGCCGTCTTCCTCACGTACATCAAGCGCGCACGAGGCACCATGAGCCGTGCGGAGGGAGCGAGGGAGCTGAAGAAGATGGTCATCTTCTCCAACCTCACCGTCTCCCAACTCCTCGACGACATCCGAGGCAAGACCGACGAGCTTGCCACCAAGCCTGCAGGCTCGGCAGCGACTGGCGAAGGCTCGGGCCCGGCCGTGACAGCCGAGGAGGGTAAGAAGGAGGAGGAGAAGGAGGCGGAGGAGGAGGAGGGGTATGATGACGAGATGCCGCTGCTGCAGTCTATGAAGAAGACCAAGGGGCAGCAGAAGGAGGGCAAGGCACAGAAGGAAGTGTCTGTGAAGGATGACTTGGAACTCAGGGAACGCCTGGACCTATACAAGTCTTTCCTGCTGTTCTGCCTGCAAGGGGATACCACCGGGATGCCCATGGGAACTAGCCTCACTGTCCAGAGGGACACTTCGGATTTTGTCCGCCTTTCACAGCTGGGGGATATTCTCGGGTTGGCCCCTCCGGAGGTCTCGTCTGTGCATCAGGGGTTGGCGGAGCAGGCGTTTAAGGTGCAAGCACAGACGCTCCTGGCTGACGGGCAGCTTACCAAGGCCCGTGCAGAGCAGCTGAAGATCATGCAGCGCGAACTGGGCCTGCCGGACGCTGCTGCGCAGAAGGTGGTGCAGTCTATAACGAGTACGAAGATGGCGGGCGCGATCGACGCGGCGATCAAGGCGGGGAGGCTGAGTGTGGACGAGGTGAAGCAGCTGAAGGAGAGCGGCGTGGATATCAGCAGTATGGTGGCCGAGAAGGTTCGCCTGCAGATGTATACCAAGCTGGTTCAGAAGGAGTTTGACAAGGGCACGGGGGATTTCGATGAGAAGGAGCTGCTGGAGAAGCTGCCTGGGGATCTGGGGTTAGAGGAGGAGGTGGCGCGGAAAACGGTGAAGGGGATTGCGAGGGAGCGGCTCAAGGGATCGCTTGTGCTGGCCGTGTCAAACCTCCGACAGAAGAAGCCCGACCTAGTGGTGTGTGCAGGGATGGGGGATGGTGGGACAGGTGGTGATGGGAATGGGGGTGATGTGGTGGGGGATGGTGGGATGGGGGAGGTTGGCTGAGGGTTTGTGGAAGTGAAGGGCTGTTGATGGTCGTCTGTTCCTTCTCGCACTGTTTTTCTAACCCGGTCCTCTTACCATACATGCTGGTGTGCGACAAGGCAGGGGCCGCCGCAATCCCCTGTTATTCCTTCGTGTGTGTGTGTCTCATCCACATTGCTCAATCGCCACCTTCCTCCCCGTCCCAGGTTGCTATGCTGCGCAACATGCTGGCAGACAGCACCTTTGAACACCTTGTCACTCCCATCTGCCTCACTCACATGATTTTGGTTGGTTACCCCTCCATCCCCTCTCTCCCACGTCCCAGGTGGCAGTGTTGAACAACATGCTGGCGTGCGACAAGGCGGACTCGGCAACGGAGGCACTCAAGTGGACAGTGAAGGAGGAGCTGCTGGACCTCTACTCGCTCTTCCTCAGCAAGCACGATGCCGAGAGCAGCGCTGCGGGCCGCATGCGCGAGCTCCTTGGGATTGACGATGAGACGGCCGCCTCGCTCTCGGAGATTGTGTCCAAGGGAGGGTTCAACATGGATTTGGACTCTTCTGTGGAGGAGAACTTTGTGTTTTAGACTGGGATGAGAGCGGTTAGGTAGTGTGCACTGCGTTGGTTTGGACGCATGGGCTAAAACTTATGCTAGAAGAAATTAAGGATAAGAGTGGTACAGGAAATAACTAGTAATTGATAATTTCCCAACAGGCCAATGCATACTACCAGAACAATCATTTGATTCAGTGTATGGTGCTGACATGTCGCTTGAAACGTGGAAAGAGAGTTTGTACGAACCCATCTTTTTTGGGGCTGGTCGGGTCACTACCATTGTCGCAGCTAATGTTAGGTCTGCCCTAAACACTATTTGCATGGATGGGTCGCACAAACAGGTGGGTGTGTAGATTTGCAGGTTGTATCCTGGGTACCCAACCCAACCGATCTGGTCGACCAAACCGTGCAGGTTGGGTCCACACCACATTTACAGGGAACTGGGCTGGGAGTCACCTGCCACAAAACGAGGGGTACGTGACGCGCTCTAATATCAAGATGGCGTTGCGTATGAGCCGGCTGAATCCGCGGCCCGAGCCGTCTTCCGTATGTCATTTCATTAGGGCGGAAGCGCGTATGTTTCCAGTTTTTTTTACAGTTTATTCTTCTTGCGTCACACTGCAAATCGGCGAGGATTGAAACTGTGCATCGACTGATATCGTCTCAAACAAGATGGCTGACCTGTAAACGTAACCCTAAAAGTACGCGCTGCCGTCCTTATATCGAGCCGCATGGCGGCGGCGCAGGGCGGCACAAAGAAGCAGGCCCCCTGAATGCCATCCCAATTTTGCCCGGGATGAGCCAAGGAAATCTTGGAGCGACATGAATCGCCCCCGAGTGACCGTTTTGGCAGTCACACTTCTCCACTTATCAAAGCAATTCACGTCTAGCGAAGAGCTCACTAATCTATTTCACCGTAACGTTCGCGTTCGTACCTGAGGTACCCCTGCCGAGTGCTCCCATCACAATGGCTACTCCACGCTTCCCCCTCCGCCTCAGCTTCTGCTGTTACCGTCGCGTCGCACTCCTGCTCGTACATCTACTGCCGCTGCTAGCTCCGCCGCGGGGAGCAAATGCGGCGTCGCGCGTCTTGATTGCGCCGATGCGCGGATCGAACGACCGCGTGGAAGTGTTCAAGCTGTCGGAGAACCTCTGGTTCGCCGGAACCGCGCAGCTTCCGCTGGCGGCGTCTGAAGGCGAGCCGAGCCACAACGCCAGCGACGGCGAAGGTGCCCCCAGTGGGGGCAACAACGATTCTGAGAAGCGGAGCGAGCGGAAACTGCAGGATGCGGAAGATCCGGATGCCGCTGCTAGCCCACCCGCTCCCGCGCCCGCTACTAGCGCGCCCGCGCCCGCTACTAGCGCGCCCGCACCCGCTGTGGATCCCATGGTAGGCATCATGGTAACCTGAACCTCAATGCAAGTTCAAGTCATGATTTCGGCCACGGTTCAGGGCAATAAACTTTCTCTTTCGGTAAGATGGCTACGAGTTTCAACACTTGATTGGTGGGGTGCAAGTGGGCGCGTTGCGTTGCGTTACGCTTGTGGATGGGGGCACGCGCCTGTCGCGAAACGCGGCAATCCCAAGGTTCCATTTCGTTCGTTCCCATGAAACAGGAGCAGCGATTGGCGGAGGTGGGGGAATTCTCGGCGCGCATGACGGAGCTGAAACAAGTGGTGAAGCGGAAACCGGCGGTTGGATTTCCCGGTATAAGCCAGTACGACGAGGTTAACAGCGGTACACCGCCTAAATACAACGGTTCAGTGGTACGTTTGATTCTTTGTTTGCTTATTCAAAAATTCCCTGATTTTATCTGCTTTGCAACCCCTTTCTTGCACTGATAAACCTCTTCCTTACGTTTCAGCCCCGTGGTACCCCTCCTGACGTTGCTCTTTGTGTGGGTAACGGATACATCCTTCACACTGTTAACTATGGTAAGCGTCATATGCACTTGCTTGCTGCTCATGGATTGCTGCTCGTGATTACCCCCACTCTCATTGATTGCTGCTCGTTCCCTCTTCTCAATCATCCCCTGTTCACATCGCACCTTTACCCTCGTCCTTTCTTCCAACCTCCCTCTCCCTTAACCTGCTCCTTCCCTCTGTTCACTCATCCCCCTTATAATCATTTCCTCCCCTGCGTACCAATCCTCCTCTTGTCTCCCCTGCTGGCAGCGATGGTTGTGTATGACAAGCAAGGGAAGCAGCTCACTCGCATCATCCCACACAAACGAGGCAAGTGCGCGCGGAATCATGATTGCTCGCACCCAAGGCTTGAGTGAGGACTTAACACTGGCTCGTATACCATGCAATGGAACACCCCGTGCAACGATACGCACATGCACGGTTGAAAGGACCATTATACCTCCTTCCCTTCCCAATCCGACCTTTCAGTTCCTTGGTCTGTTTTTGAGTCGACTCAAAAATAGCCTTCCCTCCCTTTCCCCCAACCCGACGTTTCAGTTCCTTGGGGCTGCTGCCAAGATGTGGAGCGGAGGGAGCCAATCAGCACGTCAATCGCGGGAGACAGAGTGGGAGACAGAGTGGGAGACAGAGTGGGAGACAGAGTGGAGACAGAGTGGGAGACAGAGTGGGAGACAGAGTGGGAGACAGAGTGGAGACAGAGTGGGAACAGAGTGGGAGACAGAGTGGGAGACGAGTGGGAGACAGAGTGGGGAGACAGAGTGGGAGCAGAGTGGAGACAGAGTGGGAGACAGAGTGGGGAGACAGAGTGGGAGACAGAGTGGGGAGACCAGAGTGGGAGACAGAGTGGGAGACAGAGTGGGAGACAGAGTGGGAGACAGAGTGGGAGACAGAGTGGGAGACAGAGTGGGAGACAGAGTGGGAGACAGAGTGGGAGACGAGTGGGAGACAGAGTGGGAGACAGAGTGGGAGACAGAGTGGGAGACAGAGTGGGAGACAGAGTGGGAGACAGAGTGGGAGACAGAGTGGGAGACAAGATGGGAGACAGAGTGGGAGACAGAGTGGGAGACAGAGTGGGAGACAGAGTGGGAGACAGAGTGGGAGACAGAGTGGGAGACAGAGTGGGAGACAGAGTGGGAGACAGAGTGGGAGACAGAGTGGGAGACAGAGTGGGAGACAGAGTGGGAGACAGAGTGGGAGACAGAGTGGGAGACAGAGTGGGAGACAGAGTGGGAGACAGAGTGGGAGACAGAGTGGGAGACAGAGTGGGAGACAGAGTGGGAGACAGAGTGGGAGACAGAGTGGGAGACAGAGTGGGAGACAGAGTGGGAGACAGAGTGGGAGACAGAGTGGGAGACAGAGTGGGAGACAGAGTGGGAGACAGAGTGGGAGACAGAGTGGGAGACAGAGTGGGAGACAGAGTGGGAGACAGAGTGGGAGACAGAGTGGGAGACAGAGTGGGAGACAGAGTGGAGACAGAGTGGGAGACAGAGTGGGAGACAGAGTGGGAGACAGAGTGGGAGGACAGAGTGGGAGACAGAGGTGGGAGACAGAGTGGGAGACAGAGTGGGAGACAGAGTGGGAGACAGAGTGGGAGACAGAGTGGGAGACAGAGTGGGAGGACAGAGTGGGAGACAGAGTGGGAGACAGAGTGGGAGACAGAGTGGGAGACAGAGTGGGAGGACAGAGTGGGAGACAGAGTGGGAGACAGAGTGGGAGACAGAGTGGGAGACAGAGTGGGAGGACAGAGTGGGAGACAGAGTGGGAGACAGAGTGGGAGACAGAGTGGGAGACAGAGTGGGAGACAGAGTGGGAGACAGAGTGGGAGACAGAGTGGGAGACAGAGTGGGAGACAGAGTGGGAGACAGAGTGGGAGACAGAGTGGAGACAGAGTGGGAGACAGAGTGGGGAGACAGAGTGGGAGACAGAGTGGGAGACAGAGTGGGAGACAGAGTGGGAGACAGAGTGGGAGACAGAGTGGGAGACAGAGTGGGAGACAGAGTGGGAGACAGAGTGGGAGACAGAGTGGGAGACAGAGTGGGAGACAGAGTGGGAGACAGAGTGGGAGACAGAGTGGGAGACAGAGTGGGAGACAGAGTGGGAGACAGAGTGGGAGACAGAGTGGGAGACAGAGTGGGAGACAGAGTGGGAGACAGAGTGGGAGACAGAGTGGGGAGACAGAGTGGGAGACAGAGTGGGAGACAGAGTGGGAGACAGAGTGGGAGACAGAGTGGAGACAGAGTGGGAGACAGAGTGGGAGACAGAGTGGGAGACAGAGTGGGAGACAGAGTGGGAGACAGAGTGGGAGACAGAGTGGGAGACAGAGTGGGAGACAGAGTGGGAGACAGAGTGGGAGACCGAGTGGGAGACAGAGAGTGGGAGACAGAGTGGGAGACAGAGTGGGAGACAGAGTGGGAGACAGAGTGGGAGACAGAGTGGGAGACAGAGTGGGAGACAGAGTGGGAGACAGAGTGGGAGACAGAAGTGGGAGACAGAGTGGGAGACAGAGTGGGAGACAGAGTGGGAGACAGAGTGGGAGACAGAGTGGGAGACAGAGTGGGAGACAGAGTGGGAGACAGAGTGGGAGACAGAGTGGGAGACAGGAGTGGGAGACAGAGTGGGAGACAGAGTGGGAGACAGAGTGGGAGACAGAGTGGGAGACAGAGTGGGAGACAGAGTGGGAGACAGAGTGGGAGACAGAGTGGGAGACAGAGTGGGAGACAGAGTGGGGAGACAGAGTGGGAGACAGAGTGGGAGGACAGAGTGGGAGACAGAGTGGGAGACAGAGTGGGAGACAGAGTGGGAGACAGAGTGGGAGACAGAGTGGGAGACAGAGTGGGAGACAGAGTGGGAGACAGAGTGGGAGACAGAGTGGGAGACAGAGTGGGAGACAGAGTGGGAGACAGAGTGGGAGACAGAGTGGGAGACAGAGTGGGAGACAGAGTGGGAGACAGAGTGGGAGACAGAGTGGGAGACAGAGTGGGAGACAGAGTGGGAGACAGAGTGGGAGACAGAGTGGGAGACCAGAGTGGGAGACAGAGTGGGAGACAGAGTGGGAGACAGAGTGGGAGACAGAGTGGGAGACAGAGTGGGAGACAGAGTGGGAGACAGAGTGTGAGACAGAGTGGGAGACAGAGTGGGAGACAGAGTGGGAGACAGAGTGGGAGACAGAGTGGGAGACAGAGTGGGAGACAGAGTGGGAGACAGAGTGGGAGACAGAGTGGGAGACAGAGTGGAGACAGAGTGGGAGACAGAGTGGGAGACAGAGTGGGAGACAGAGTGGGAGACAGAGTGGGAGACAGAGTGGGAGACAGAGTGGGAGACAGAGTGGGAGACAGAGTGGGAGACAGAGTGGGAGACAGAGTGGGAGACAGAGTGGGAGACAGAGTGGGAGACAGAGTGGAGACAGAGTGGGAGACAGAGTGGGAGACAGAGTGGGAGACAGAGTGGGAGACAGAGTGGGAGACAGAGTGGGAGACAGAGTGGGAGACAGAGTGGGAGACAGAGTGGGAGACAGAGTGGGAGACAGAGTGGGAGACAGAGTGGGAGACAGAGTGGGAGACAGAGTGGGAGACAGAGTGGGAGACAGAGTGGGAGACAGAGTGGGAGACAGAGTGGGAGACAGAGTGGGAGACAGAGTGGGAGACAGAGTGGGAGACAGAGTGGGAGACAGAGTGGGAGACAGAGTGGGAGACAGAGTGGGAGACAGAGTGGGAGACAGAGTGGGAGACAGAGTGGGAGACAGAGTGGGAGACAGAGTGGGAGACAGAGTGGGAGACAGAGTGGGAGACAGAGTGGGAGACAGAGTGGGAGACAGAGTGGGAGACAGAGTGGGAGACAGAGTGGGAGACAGAGTGGGAGACAGAGTGGGAGACAGAGTGGGAGACAGAGTGGGAGACAGAGTGGGAGACAGAGTGGGAGACAGAGTGGGAGACAGAGTGGGAGACAGAGTGGGAGACAGAGTGGGAGACAGAGTGGGAGACAGAGTGGGAGACAGAGTGGGAGACAGAGTGGGAGACAGAGTGGGAGACAGAGTGGGAGACAGAGTGGGAGACAGAGTGGGAGACAGAGTGGGAGACAGAGTGGGAGACAGAGTGGGAGACAGAGTGGGAGACAGAGTGGGAGACAGAGTGGGAGACAGAGTGGGAGACAGAGTGGGAGACAGAGTGGGAGACAGAGTGGGAGACAGAGTGGGAGACAGAGTGGGAGACAGAGTGGGAGACAGAGTGGGAGACAGAGTGGGAGACAGAGTGGGAGACAGAGTGGGAGACAGAGTGGGAGACAGAGTGGGAGACAGAGTGGGAGACAGAGTGGGAGACAGAGTGGGAGACAGAGTGGGAGACAGAGTGGGAGACAGAGTGGGAGACAGAGTGGGAGACAGAGTGGGAGACAGAGTGGGAGACAGAGTGGGAGACAGAGTGGGAGACAGAGTGGGAGACAGAGTGGGAGACAGAGTGGGAGACAGAGTGGGAGACAGAGTGGGAGACAGAGTGGGAGACAGAGTGGGAGACAGAGTGGGAGACAGAGTGGGAGACAGAGTGGGAGACAGAGTGGGAGACAGAGTGGGAGACAGAGTGGGAGACAGAGTGGGAGACAGAGTGGGAGACAGAGTGGGAGACAGAGTGGGAGACAGAGTGGGAGACAGAGTGGGAGACAGAGTGGGAGACAGAGTGGGAGACAGAGTGGGAGACAGAGTGGGAGACAGAGTGGGAGACAGAGTGGGAGACAGAGTGGGAGACAGAGTGGGAGACAGAGTGGGAGACAGAGTGGGAGACAGAGTGGGAGACAGAGTGGGAGACAGAGTGGGAGACAGAGTGGGAGACAGAGTGGGAGACAGAGTGGGAGACAGAGTGGGAGACAGAGTGGGAGACAGAGTGGGAGACAGAGTGGGAGACAGAGTGGGAGACAGAGTGGGAGACAGAGTGGGAGACAGAGTGGGAGACAGAGTGGGAGACAGAGTGGGAGACAGAGTGGGAGACAGAGTGGAGACAGAGTGGGAGAACAGAGTGGGAGACAGAGTGGGAGACCGAGTGGGAGACAGAGTGGGAGACAGAGTGGGAGACAGAGTGGGAGACAGAGTGGGAGACAGAGTGGGAGACAGAGTGGGAGACAGAGTGGGAGACAGAGTGGGAGACAGAGTGGGAGACAGAGTGGGAGACAGAGTGGGAGACAGAGTGGGGAGACAGAGTGGGAGACGAGTGGAGGACAGAGTGGGAGACAGAGTGGGAGACAGAGTGGGAGACAGAGTGGGAGACAGAGTGGGAGACAGAGTGGGAGACAGAGTGGGAGACAGAGTGGGAGACAGAGTGGGAGACAGAGTGGGAGACAAGAGTGGGAGACAGAGTGGGAGACAGAGTGGAGACAGAGTGGGAGACAGAGTGGGAGACAGAGTGGGAGACAGAGTGGGAGACAGAGTGGGAGGACAGAGTGGGAGACAGAGTGGGAGACAGAGTGGGAGACAGAGTGGGAGACAGAGTGGGAGACAGAGTGGGAGACAGAGTGGGCGACAGAGTGGGAGACAGAGTGGGAGACAGAGTGGGAGACAGAGTGGGAGACAGAGGGGGAGACAGAGTGGGAGACAGAGTGGGAGACAGAGTGGGAGACAGAGTGGGAGACAGAGTGGGAGACAGAGTGGGAGACAGAGTGGGAGACAGAGTGGGAGACAGAGTGGGAGACAGAGTGGGAGACAGAGTGGGAGACAGAGTGGGAGACAGAGTGGGAGACAGAGTGGGAGACAGAGTGGGAGACAGAGTGGGAGACAGAGTGGGAGACAGAGTGGGAGACAGAGTGGGAGACAGAGTGGGAGACAGAGTGGGAGACAGAGTGGGAGACAGAGTGGGAGACAGAGTGGGAGACAGAGTGGGAGACAGAGTGGGAGACAGAGTGGGAGACAGAGTGGGAGACAGAGTGGGAGACAGAGTGGGAGACAGAGTGGGAGACAGAGTGGGAGACAGAGTGGGAGACAGAGTGGGAGACAGAGTGGGAGACAGAGTGGGAGACAGAGTGGGAGACAGAGTGGGAGACAGAGTGGGAGACAGAGTGGGAGACAGAGTGGGAGACAGAGTGGGAGACAGAGTGGGAGACAGAGTGGGAGACAGAGTGGGAGACAGAGTGGGAGACAGAGGGAGACAGAGTGGGAGACAGAGTGGGAGACAGAGTGGGAGACAGAGTGGGAGACAGAGTGGGAGACAGAGTGGGAGACAGAGTGGGAGACAGAGTGGGAGACAGAGTGGGAGACAGAGTGGGAGACAGAGTGGGAGACAGAGTGGGAGACAGAGTGGGAGACAGAGTGGGAGACAGAGTGGGAGACAGAGTGGGAGACAGAGTGGGAGACAGAGTGGGAGACAGAGTGGGAGACAGAGTGGGAGACAGAGTGGGAGACAGAGTGGGAGACAGAGTGGGAGACAGAGTGGGAGACAGAGTGGGAGACAGAGTGGGAGACAGAGTGGAGACAGAGTGGGAGACAGAGTGGGAGACAGAGTGGGAGACAGAGTGGGAGACAGAGTGGGAGGACAGAGTGGGAGACAGAGGTGGGAGACAGAGTGGGAGACAGAGTGGGAGACAGAGTGGGAGACAGAGTGGGAGACAGAGTGGGAGACAGAGTGGGAGACAGAGTGGAGACAGAGTGGGAGACAGAGTGGGAGACAGAGTGGGAGACAGAGTGGGAGACAGAGTGGGAGACAGAGTGGGAGACAGTAGTGGGAGACAGAGTGGGGAGACAGAGTGGAGACAGAGTGGGAGACAGAGTGGGAGACAGAGTGGGAGACAGAGTGGGAGACAGAGTGGGAGACAGAGTGGGAGACAGAGTGGGAGACAGAGTGGGAGACAGAGTGGAGACAGAGTGGGAGACAGAGTGGGAGACAGAGTGGGAGACAGAGTGGGAGACAGAGTGGGAGACAGAGTGGGAGACAGAGTGGGAGACAGAGTGGGAGACAGAGTGGGAGACAGAGTGGGAGGACAGAGTGGGAGACAGAGTGGGAGACAGAGTGGGAGACAGAGTGGGAGACAGAGTGGGAGACAGAGTGGGAGACAGAGTGGGAGACAGAGTGGGAGACAGAGTGGGAGACAGAGTGGGAGACAGAGTGGGAGACAGAGTGGGAGACAGAGTGGAGACAGAGTGGGAGACAGAGTGGGGAGACAGAGTGGGAGACAGAGTGGGAGACAGAGTGGGAGACAGAGTGGGAGACAGAGTGGGAGACAGAGTGGGAGACAGAGTGGGAGACAGAGTGGGAGACAGAGTGGGAGACAGAGTGGGAGACAGAGTGGGAGACAGAGTGGGAGACAGAGTGGGAGACAGAGTGGGAGACAGAGTGGGAGACAGAGTGGGAGACAGAGTGGGAGACAGAGTGGGAGACAGAGTGGGAGACAGAGTGGGAGACAGAGTGGAGACAGAGTGGGAGACAGAGTGGGAGACAGAGTGGGAGACAGAGTGGGAGACAGAGTGGGAGACAGAGTGGGAGACAGAGTGGGAGACAGAGTGGGAGACAGAGTGGGAGACAGAGTGGGAGACAGAGTGGGAGACAGAGTGGGAGACAGAGTGGGAGACAGAGTGGGAGACAGAGTGGAGACAGAGTGGGAGACAGAGTGGGAGACAGAGTGGGAGACAGAGTGGGAGACAGAGTGGGAGACAGAGTGGGAGACAGAGTGGGAGACAGAGTGCGGAGACAGAGTGGGAGACAGAGTGGGAGACAGAGTGGGAGACAGAGTGGGAGACAGAGTGGGAGACAGAGTGGGAGACAGAGTGGGAGACAGAGTGGGAGACAGAGTGGGAGACAGAGTGGGAGACAGAGTGGGAGACAGAGTGGGAGACAGAGTGGGAGACAGAGTGGGAGACAGAGTGGAGACAGAGTGGGAGACAGAGTGGGAGACAGAGTGGGAGACAGAGTGGGAGACAGAGTGGGAGACAGAGTGGGATACAGAGTGGGAGACAGAGTGGGAGACAGAGTGGGAGGACAGAGTGGGAGACAGAGTGGGAGACAGAGTGGGAGACAGAGTGGGAGACAGAGTGGGAGACAGAGTGGGAGACAGAGTGGGAGACAGAGTGGGAGACAGAGTGGGAGACAGAGTGGGAGACAGAGTGGGAGACAGAGTGGGAGACAGAGTGGGAGACAGAGTGGGAGACAGAGTGGGAGACAGAGTGGAGAAGAGGGGGAGACAGAGTGGGAGACAGAGTGGGAGACAGAGTGGGAGACAGAGTGGGAGACAGAGTGGGAGACAGAGTGGGAGACAGAGTGGGAGACAGAGTGGGAGACAGAGTGGGAGACAGAGTGGGAGACAGAGTGGGAGACAGAGTGGGAGACAGAGTGGGAGACAGAGTGGGAGACAGAGTGGGAGACAGAGGTGGGAGACAGAGTGGGAGACAGAGTGGGAGACAGAGTGGGAGACAGAGTGGGAGACAGAGTGGGAGACAGAGTGGGAGACAGAGTGGGAGACAGAGTGGGAGACAGAGTGGGAGACAGAGTGGGAGGACAGAGTGGGAGACAGAGTGGGAGACAGAGTGGGAGACAGAGTGGGAGACAGAGTGGGAGACAGAGTGGGAGACAGAGTGGGAGACAGAGTGGGAGACAGAGTGGGAGACAGAGTGGGAGACAGAGTGGGAGACAGAGTGGGAGACAGAGTGGGAGACAGAGTGGGAGACAGAGTGGGAGACAGAGTGGGAGACAGAGTGGGAGACAGAGTGGGAGACAGAGTGGGAGACAGAGTGGGAGACAGAGTGGGAGACAGAGTGGGAGACAGAGTGGGAGACAGAGTGGGAGACAGAGTGGAGACAGAGTGGGAGACAGAGTGGGAGACAGAGTGGGAGACAGAGTGGGAGACAGAGTGGGAGACAGAGTGGGAGACAGAGTGGGAGACAGAGTGGGAGACAGAGTGGGAGACAGAGTGGGAGACAGAGTGGGAGACAGAGTGGGAGACAGAGTGGAGACAGAGTGGGAGGACAGAGTGGGAGACAGAGTGGAGACAGAGTGGGAGACAGTAGTGGGAGACAGAGTGGGAGACAGAGTGGGAGACAGAGTGGAGACAGAGTGGGAGGACAGAGTGGGAGACAGAGTGGGAGACAGAGTGGGAGACAGAGTGGGAGACAGAGTGGGAGACAGAGTGGGAGACAGAGTGGGAGACAGAGTGGGAGACAGAGTGGGAGACAGAGTGGGAGACAGAGTGGGGAGACAGAGTGGAGACAGAGTGGGAGACAGAGTGGGAGACAGAGTGGGAGACAGAGTGGGAGACAGAGTGGGAGACAGAGTGGGAGACAGAGTGGGAGACAGAGTGGGAGACATGAGTGGGAGACAGAGTGGGAGACAGAGTGGAGACGATGGAGACAGAGTGGGAGACAGAGTGGGAGACAGAGGTGGGAGACAGAGTGGGAGACAGAGTGGGAGACAGAGTGGGAGACAGAGTGGGAGACAGAGTGGGAGACAGAGTGGGAGACAGAGGGGGATACAGCGTGGGAGACAGAGTGGGAGACAGAGTGGGAGACAGAGTGGGAGACAGAGTGGGAGACAGAGTGGAGACAGAGTGGGAGACAGAGTGGGAGACAGAGTGGGAGACAGACTGGAGACAGAGTGGGAGACAGAGTGGGACAGAGTGGAGACAGAGTGGGAGGCAGAGTGGGAGACAGAGTGGGAGACAGAGTGGGAGACAGAGTGGGAGACAGAGTGGGAGGACAGAGTGGGAGACAGAGTGGGAGACAGAGTGGGAGACAGAGTGGGAGACAGAGTGGGAGACAGAGTGGGAGACAGAGTGGGAGACAGAGTGGGAGACAGAGTGGGAGACAGAGTGGGAGACAGAGTGGGAGACAGAGTGGGAGACAGAGTGGGAGACAGAGTGGGAGACAGAGTGGGAGACAGAGTGGGAGACAGAGTGGGAGACAGAGTGGGAGACAGAGTGGGAGACAGAGTGGGAGACAGAGTGGGAGACAGAGTGGGAGACAGAGTGGGAGACAGAGTGGGAGACAGAGTGGGAGACAGAGTGGGAGACAGAGTGGGAGACAGAGTGGGAGACAGAGTGGGAGACAGAGTGGGAGACAGAGTGGGAGACAGAGTGGGAGACAGAGTGGGAGACAGAGTGGGAGACAGAGTGGGAGACAGAGTGGGAGACAGAGTGGGAGACAGAGTGGGAGACAGAGTGGGAGACAGAGTGGGAGACAGAGTGGGAGACAGAGTGGGAGACAGAGTGGGAGACAGAGTGGGAGACAGAGTGGGAGACAGAGTGGGAGACAGAGTGGGAGACAGAGTGGGAGACAGAGTGGGAGACAGAGTGGGAGACAGAGTGGGAGACAGAGTGGGAGACAGAGTGGGAGACAGAGTGGGAGACAGAGTGGGAGACAGAGTGGGAGACAAGCAGTGGGAGAACAGAGTGGGAGACAGAGTGGGAGACAGAGTGGGAGACAGAGTGGGAGACAGAGTGGGAGACAGAGTGGGAGACAGAGTGGGAGACAGAGTGGGAGACAGAGTGGGAGACAGAGTGGGAGACAGAGTGGGAGACAGAGTGGGAGACAGAGTGGGAGACAGAGTGGGAGACAGAGTGGGAGACAGAGTGGAGACAGAGTGGGAGACAGAGTGGGAGACAGAGTGGGAGACAGAGTGGGGAGACAGAGTGGGAGACAGAGTGGGGAGACAGAGTGGGAGACAGAGTGGGAGACAGAGTGGGAGACAGAGTGGGAGACAGAGTGGGAGACAGAGTGGGAGACAGAGTGGGAGACAGAGTGGGAGACAGAGTGGGAGACAGAGTGGGAGACAGAGTGGGAGACAGAGTGGGAGGACAGAGTGGGAGACAGAGTGGGAGACAGAGTGGGAGACAGAGTGGGAGACAGAGTGGGAGACAGAGTGGGAGACAGAGTGGGAGACAGAGTGGAGACAGAGTGGGAGACAGAGTGGGAGACAGAGTGGGAGACAGAGTGGGAGACAGAGTGGGAGACAGAGTGGGAGACAGAGTGGGAGACAGAGTGGGAGGCAGAGTGGGAGACAGAGTGGGAGACAGAGTGGGAGACAGAGTGGGAGACAGAGTGGGAGACAGAGTGGGAGACAGAGTGGGAGACAGAGTGGGGAGACAGAGTGGGAGACAGAGTGGGAGACAGAGTGGGAGACAGAGTGGGGAGACAGAGTGGGAGACAGAGTGGGAGACAGAGTGGGAGACAGAGTGGGAGACAGAGTGGGAGACAGAGTGGGAGACCAGAGTGGGAGACAGAGTGGGAGACAGAGTGGGAGACAGAGTGGGAGACAGAGTGGGAGACAGAGTGGGAGACAGAGTGGGAGACAGAGTGGGAGACAGAGTGGGAGAGACAGAGTGGGAGACAGAGTGGGAGACACGGAGTGGGAGACAGAGTGGGAGACAGAGTGGGAGACAGAGTGGGAGACAGAGTGGGAGACAGAGTGGGAGACAGAGTGGGAGACAGAGTGGGAGACAGAGTGGGAGACAGAGTGGGAGACAGAGTGGGAGACAGAGTGGGAGACAGAGTGAGACAGAGTGGGAGACAGAGTGGGAGACAGAGTGGGAGACAGAGTGGGAGACAGAGTGGGAGACAGAGTGGGAGACAGAGTGGGAGACAGAGTGGGAGACAGAGTGGGAGACAGAGTGGGAGACAGAGTGGGAGACAGAGTGGGAGACAAAATCGGCGACATGACATGCACGTACGACCGCAAAGCCAAGCGCTTCTACCTCTCCGCCATGTGGATGGTGAGTTGTGGGTGGAGTGTGGGGTGCTGCTGGGTACTGCTGGGTGCTGCTGGTTGCTGTTGGGTGCTGCTGTTTGTTGCTGGGTACTGCCACCGGTGGTGGAGCGAAGGGAGCCGTATAGCATGTCAAACTTGTCTTGGGAGACAAGTTGGCTACCTGTCATGCACGTATGATATGACCGCCATTCTCTTTGCCCTCCCTCGCACTCCCAGTCAGGGGGATTCAACAACACGTATGACAAGTTTGGGCAGACGAGGAGGCGAGGCAACGTGACAGTGGGCTCGGGGCTGATAGTGGCAGCGACAACCACGGATGACCCCACAAAGGAGTGGAACCTCTTCTTCATTCCCGGCTCGTACGTTCGGCCCCTTCGCTCACCCTTTCTCACATTCCTCACCTTCCATTCTCACCCAGGACTGGAACGTCTTCTTCATCCCTGGCTCGTATGCGTTCCTCCTTTTGCTCACGCTTTCTCACATTCCTCACCTTTTCTCACCCTTCTCCATCGTGCCTTTCTGTCTCACCGTTCCTAAAACGTCCGTCTTCTTTCATTCCCGGCTCGTACGCTCGCCTCCTCGTTCTCACTCACCTCATTGTATTCACTGCTTCTCACGCTTTCTCAACTCTTTGCTTCCTCCTCGTTCTCACCTAAACACCGTTTCTCACCCTGATCACCGTTCCTCTTTCTCTTTCCACCAGCAACGTCTTAGATTCCAGACTGATTGGACCCCTTGTCTTTGCCCTCCCCTTCCCAGCATCCCACCTCGCTCCCCTGCCAAACATCCTCCCTCCCATCATCCGAATCCCCCTCCCTCCTCCCCCATCAACGTTGGAATCAACTCGAATCCCTACTGGAGGGCGCCTCTTCTTTTGAGTCGGCTCAAGAGCATCCCACCTCTCTCCCCTGCCAACATCCCCTCCCTCCATCCTCACTCCCTCCATCCTCACTCCCTCCATCCTCACTCCCTCCATCCTCACTCCCTCCGTCCTCACTCCCTCCGTCCTCACTCCCTCCGTCCTCACTCCCTCCGTCCTCACTCCCTCCGTCCTCACCCTCTCCGTCCTCACTCACTCCGTCCTCACTCCCTCCCTCCGTCCTCACTCCCTCCCTCCGTCCTCACTCCCTCCGTCCTCACCCCCCCTCCCTCCTCCCCCAGCAATGACGGAATCAGCTCGAATCCCGACTGGAGGGCCCCCCTTCACTACCAGACAAATCGGCTCACCACTCTCTGTGGGTTGGGAGGGGTGATTGCGGGGGGGTGAAGGTGGGGTGATTGCGGGGGTGAAGGGGGTTTGATTGTGAGGTGAAGGTGGGGTGATTGCGGGGGGGTGAAGGGGGTTTGATTGTGAGGTGAAGGTGGGGTGATTGCGCTGTTGCTCAAATGGAATTCTCCTCTCTTATCCAACTTGCCTCTTTCCCTTGTCGTCTCTTATCACTTGTCCCTCTTTCTCTTTACTTGGTGGTTTCAGTGGACTACCCTCAAGTCGGCACTGATGCCTATGGTATGTGCACTCATGCCTTTGTTTGTGCTTTCTTGCCTATGTCGTGCATGCCCATGCCATGTGCACTCATGCCCATGCCACGTGCACTCATGCCCATGCCACGTGCACTCATGCCCATGCCATGTGCACTCATGCCCATGCCACGTGCACTCATGCTCATGCCACGTGCACTCATGCCCATGCCACGTGCACTCATGCCCATGCCACGTGCACTCATGCCCATGCCACGTGCACTCATTCCCATGCCACGTGCACTCATGCCCATGCCACGTGCACTCATGCCCATGCCATGTGCCAGTTTAATGCTTGAGGCGTCTCAAAAAACGACTGGGACGCCTTGAGACCCCTGTTGTTTCTTGGCCGCCCCCCCCCTCCCCTCCCCCCCCTCCCCGTTTCTTGCCCCTTCCTCAATTCCCCCCTCCCCGCCCTCTTTCTTACTCGCCCTCACCAGGAGTTTATGTGTCTGCCAACCAATTTACAGAGGATGAGTTCTCGTGTTTCGGGTCCTCCATATAGTGAGTTGAGAGAAGTTAGTGTTAACGAGTCATGGTTCCAAAGGAAATGCATTCACAGGTCTGGGGAATGCATAGCTCATAACACCATCCTTGCAACCACGACTTGCAGCTCTGGTGCCATCCTCTCCCATCAATCTCTGAACTTCCCCCCCCTCCTCTCCCACCATTCTCTAACATCTCCCCCATCCCCTCTCATGAATCTCTTAACTCCTCCTCACCCTCCTTGCTCACTCCTCCCTTCTTCTCCCCCCCACCTCCCCCCCTACCAGTGCAATCTCCAAGGCCCAGCTTCAAACCCCTCAGAACACAACCATTCTTCGCTTCGCCGTGCCACAATCACTGGCCCTCAGCAACCCAGCATTAACCATCTACCCTCAGAAGGTCGCAGCCGATGGGGACTACGACTATCGCCACGGCGGCACCATGTATTTCGGCTGGACGGGATTCAACCCCAACCGACCTTCCCCACAGGAATTCTTTGTTGTATACAACTTCACCACAGTGGGAGCCTTTGCTATAACGGGTACAAGTGCTCTGGGGACCCCTGAAGCCGAGAGTATGGTGAAGCCACACTGTGCCGCCGTCAGCACTCCCCCGTACTTCAAAATAAATGATGTTCAGCAAAAGAACGGACCCGTGCCAATCGCTTGGAGACTCAACACCACCATCCGTGCTATCAGCCCTACAGCTTCTACCGTCCGTGCAGTTGTGGTGTTTCCGGAGAGCAGGCAGATGTGGCTGTCGTTTATGTCGGCCTTTGGCAAGGACATGATTGCCTCTGCCGTGGTGGCCAGGCTTCGCTTGTCTCTGAGGCTCAAGCGCAAGTGGAGGCCGTTTCGGGTGTTTCTGGAGCGGTTCAAAGTGGTGGGGGTGGGCGGAGGGAACAGCCTCATTCAGCCCACGATCTCTCTCAACAGTTGGGAGAGAGGGGAGGAGGGGGTGGATGGAAAAAGGGGGAGGGTGTGGGGGTAGACAGCAAAAGGAGGAGGGTGTGGGGGTAGACAGCAAAAGGGGGAGGGTGTGGGGGTAGACAGCAAAAGGGGGAGGGTGTGGGGGTAGACAGCAAAAGGGGGAGGGTGTGGGGGTAGACAGCAAAAGGGGGAGGGTGTGGGGGTAGACAGCAAAAGTGGGAGGGTGTGGGGGTGGAAGTGCAAGGGTTGAAAGAGGGATTTGATGGCAATGGGAGAGGAGAATTTACCCTTTTAGGTTGATTCTTTATGCGTGTCCCCCTCACAGGATGATATGCACGAGCACTGGACATGCGGCATGCTGAATTCTGCTCAAGTGCACACTTTTAATTTTAAGCACAGCAAGAGATTCACAGCAGCGTTTTGCCCATCTTCATTTCCACCAACTCACACGCCCTCCCGCCATCCACTCACGCCCCTATCCACGCATGGTAAGGCCATCACATTACACCCCATCTCCTTCCCTTCACTCACCTGTCTTTCCCTCTCTCCCTTTGCCCTTCCCAGGCAAGGCAAGGGCATCATAGCAGCATCGCTGGCAGGGCGTTCCTTCTACCCCTCAGCTGCCTATGCCACTCTCAACGCCAATGTGGATGTTGGCCGCATCAACGTTGTTGGCCCGGGGAAAGCGCCTCTTGACGACTACTCTGGTGAGTCGCCATAGTGCTGCTCATTGCTCCGCTGCTCAGCATGTTAGCGCCTGAAACCAGATCCTGCTGGCCTTGCTGGCCCTGCTTGGCATGCTAAGGCTCGTCATCATGCCTGCTATGGCCCTGCTGGCCTTGCTGGCCCTGCTAAGGCTCCTCATCACGCCTGCTCTGGTATTTCCCTCCCAAACACTGCTCAGGTTACTACTGGTAGTAATTGTCTCCTCTCCGTATGAAATCCGCGTGCATTGAGGACTTTTTGGAGGCACCTCAAAATACACTCAATGCTGGCCCTGAAAATTCTCCTCTGCATGAGTGCTCTGTTTTTGTCCGTCCGCGTGATGTGATGTGATGTGATGTGATGTGATGTGAGTGAGACGCCCTTTGAGTCGACTCGACTCAGAAATCGTCTCAGATTCTGCTGGCTCAGAGAAGGCCCCTCTGCATGTCTGCTCTGCTAGTGTCTGTCCGCGTGAAAATCGTCCTTTCAGACAATTTTTGGGAGATGTGATGTGAGTGAGACGCCCTTTGAGTCGAGTCGACTAAAAAATCGTTAACAGATTCTGCCGGCCCAGAAAAGGCTCCTCTGCTTGTCTGCTCTGGTCGTTTCCTCCTAAAAGGCTGCTCTGGTCGTTTCCTCCTAAAAGGCTGCTCTGGTGACTGCTATGGAGAGCCTCTTTTCTGGTGGCTCAATCTCAACTTTGCTCCCTCACAAGTATTACAAACGATCTTACAAACTCCCTTGCCCACCCCTAACCCGTTTGCCCTCCTGTCAACCCCCGTCCCTCCTTTCCGCCCCTCTTTTCCTGCAAACCCCCACCCGTCTCCCCCCCTTCCAGGATACTTGACTGAGGGGATGCGCTACGGCGAGTACATGACGGCGACTACACAACTGCTGCACTTGAGTCGAATCTAAGGCACTTCTTGTCAATCTCTCCTCGCGTGCATACCCCCACCCCAGTCTCTCTCTCCTCCTTTCAGGGTACTTGACTGAGGGGATGCGCTACGGCGAGTACATGACGGCGACTACACAACGGCTACGCGTGAGTCGAATATAAGGCCATCCTTGTCTCCCCCACCCCCGTTTCCCCCCCTGCAAACCCCCACCTGTCTCCCCCCCTTCCCAGGTACTTGAGTGAGGGAATGCGATGCGGCGACTACACGTCGGTTACGCGTGGGGCGAATCTACATGCAGGCCATCCCTGTCTCCGAAACCGAGGATAATGAAGTCCTTTATGTTGCAGGGATTTGTTGAGATTTCTCAAAAAGATCCTTGCAACATGAGGGGATGCGATGCGGCGACTACGTGATGCCGATGCTTGAGTCGAATCTAAGGCCATCTTTGTCTCCCCCACCCTCCTCCCCCTTTCCAGCGTACGAGACTGGGAGGATGCGGTACGGCGACTACATGACGGCGACGGTGGACGAGGAGGGCAACGCGTGGGCGGCAGTGCAGTATGTGGCGGGGCAGCCGCGCACCGAGTGGAGCAACTGGGCTACCTTCGTGTTCAAAGTCGACCTGCAGGGGGGGGAGGGGAACGGGGGGAACGGGGGGAGTGGGAATTATGGGGGGAGTCGGGATAATGGGGGGGGTGAGGGGGATGGGGAGAACGGGAAGAATTAAAGGAACAGTGGGAAAGTGAATAATGAAGGGGAAGGGGGATGGAGGGGAGGAGGGAGACAGGGGAGCTTGTGAACAGTGATGGTAGTGATGGGGATGTGCGGGCTTGTGGGGGAGGAGGGGTGGGGAATAGCAGCAGGGATAATGAGGGTGGGAAGGGGAATTTAGGGTGGGTATAGCAGCAGGGTTGGCTAGGGGGGTGGTGCATAAGTATGGAGTGGAAGCTGCAGCGGCAGTGGAGACAGTTCCAGCAGCAGCCGCAGGAGCAATAGCAGGAGTGGCACTGGTTATTGTGAAAACAACACCAGTAGATGCAAGGATGGCAATGGTGGTAGTGGCTGAATGGGAGATAGCATAGGGAGGCATCTTGGCAGTCATGTGCTGCTACCTCAGCAGCACAGACTTTTTTTTGTGCAGCTCTTGCATATTAACGCATCACCTATCCTGTTAGCATTTCCGCATGGTGCTCGAACTGATGAGCATTAATTATCTAGGGAAGTCACCACTGCGTAGCTTCATGCACTAGATTGCCTGCAGTGGAATAAGTGCAGCTGATTTTTAATATTGAGTACCATATAAATGCGCACTGCTAGGGCGCATGCGCTTTGAATAAAGCTCTAGCATGGCACAAGAAATGTTTAAATCATGTGCCAACTTCAGTTGGCTAATGGATTACTATCATAATGCCATGAGGGAATGTTGTTGATGCCTTTCTCTATCTAGGAAGTATGATATCGTGTAGTCTATCTAGATAGATGCATGGGCGCGCTGTTGCGGGGACGCCCAAGTCGTCGCCTTTCTCATGCAACCTTGTCGAGCCGCATGGCGGCGGCGCATGGCGCGGGGCGGGACAAGGACATGGGCTTGCCCATGTACTGCACACATACATTGCCACTACGGGAGCTAGGGTGGTTGAAAATTTGGCTGAAGTGAATGTTGAGGAGAAGTGGTTTTGAGCGCTTGACAGCTCATTAGTCTAGTCAGCTGGCAACATCCCCTTCTGATAAACTTCAGGTTGGTTTTGATTGGCTGGAATCCCCGATCGGCTGCGCACAGTGGCTGTGACAAATTCAGTGCAAAGACGTGGCACCTGTTCTGGCACTGAAGGATTTGACGGAGGAATGGATAGTCACCAGAATGCCGCCATTTTTTTAGATGTCTGAAAACTGAATTTTGACGGAGGAATGGATCCGTCAGACTGCCGCCTTTTCCAAACTGTAGCGCGCAGCCGCTTTTCCACATGTGGAGATCCAAGAGGCGGACGCAGGCACTGCACTGATTTTAGTGAACAGCCATTCGGTTTGATCAGAGCTAGTCGATGCTTCAGCTCCCCTATTTCATAGTCGATGCTCCAAGGCCTATCAAGGTGCACTCTGCTTCCGGCGCAATGGCTCCTCCTCCGCATGCCTCCCCGCGCCTCTGCTGCTACCGTCACGCCGCTCTGCTGCTCGCGCTTCTACTGCCGCTGCTAGCTCCGCCGCGGGGAACGAATGCGGCGACGCGCGTCGTGATTGCGCCGATGCGCGGATCGAAGGACCGCGTGGAGGTGTTCAAGCTGTCGGAGAACCTCTGGTTCGCTGGAACCGCGCAGCTTCCGCCGATCGAAGACGCTGTTAGTAGTAACGGCCCGCTCCCTCCACCGGGTGGAGACTCCGCTTCCGCGGGAGGCGGCGGGAACAGCGGCGGAGATAGCAGCGGAAACCACAGCACCACCGCCGGCGATTCCCGCGCGTCATATGCGGCGGACGACCCGCGCGACAGGGAGGCGCGGAAGGAGGAGCTGCTTGGGCGGATTCGCGGCGGCGGACTCGACGAGAAGACGCGCGAGGCCTTGGCGGAAGCAGCAAGCTCCGCGGCGGCCGCCGCTGCATCTGCGCCCGCCGCTGCGCCTGCGAGCGCGCCGGCTCCCGCTGTGGATCCGCTCGGGCAACAGATGGTAGGCTCGCGCGACTGAGCCTGTGCGACTGAGCCTGTGCGATTCACTGACTGTTCTAGCGGGGAATCCCCGAGCCCTTTGCGCCCTCCCCCCCGGCGGGATTCCCCCCAGCGCATGCAGGCCTTGTGCGGCACCCAGTTCAGAGGTCAACCGCTGGAACGGTCAACCGAGTCGCGCAGTAACGGTCAACCGAGTCGCGCAGTAACGGTCAACCGAGTCGCACAGTAACGGTCAACCACTACAGTAGAAGAGGCTTCCTAAGGCTCGTGCAATGTGCAACCCGCTTCTGCAATGGAGGAAATCCCTGTGTTTTTGGGGTTCCCGCTCTTTCCCACAAACAGGAGGAGCGATTGGCGGAGGTGGGGGAATTCTCGGCGCGCATGACGGAGCTGAAACAAGTGGTGAAGCGGAAACCGGCGGTTGGGTTTCCCGGTATAAGCCAGTACAGCCTAGTGAACAGTGGTACACCGCCTAAATACAACGATACAGTGGTAAGAAACATGTGTTATTTCACGGTGCGGATTTGTGCATTTGTGCGGATTTTTGCAGCATCTTGATCACTAAAGTTATGTTTCTTGTTCCGTTTTAGGTCCGTGTAACCCCTCCTGACGTCGCTCTGTGTGTGGGCAACGGATACATCCTTCACACTGTCAACATTGGTAAGCGGCGTTCCTTGCCCTTGCTTCTTCTCTGTCCCCAACTGCTTCACCTTCTTTCTCCATCTCTCCTCTCACGCAATTCCTTTTAAGCAATTTCTCTACCGTCCCACCGATTCCTCTCCTCCACTTCTCCCCCCTGGCAGCAATGGCTGTGTACGACAAGCAAGGGAAGCAGCTCACTCGCATCATCACAACCAACGAGGCAAGTGCACACGCAGCGAGTCAAGTGCACACGCAGCGAGGCAAGTGCACACGCAGCGAGGCAAGTGCACACGCAGCGAGGCAAGTGCACACGCAGCGAGGCAAGTGCGCACGCAGCGAGGCAAGTGCGCACACCCAATCATGATCGCTCTGCCCTCTCCTCCCCAGCCCCACACCTCCCTCCACGCCTTCCTCTCACTTCGCCAGCGTGCTGCCATTGGTGGTTCTTTGCCCAACCAGCACCAACACCAGCCCACCTTCCGCCCATCTTCCGCCCACCTTCCGCCCACCTTCCGCCCACCTTCCGCCCACCTTCCGCCCACCTTCTGCCCACCTTCCGCCCACCTTCCCCAACCCTCATTCCATTCCGCCCACCTTCCGCCCACCAGTTCTTTGGCATGCTGCCATGGGTGGTGGAGAAGAGGGACCCGTTCAAAGAATCAGTATTCGGAGACAACATCGGTGACATGACATGCACGTATGACCGCCAGTCCCGGCGCTTCTACCTCTCCACCTACTGGAGTGTGAGTGCCGAACCTGCGCCGAGCCATTGTTGACTTTTTAGGCGCCTTTGTTGACTTTTTAGGCGCCATTGTTGACTTTACAAAAGTTGCTTCCCTCGCCACCTGTTGTTGGATTCAGCCTGCGAAGCCATTTCTCTCGAACACCTCCCTCCCGCAATCCCACTATCCCCCTTCTTTTGCCCTCTCGTTTTCCTACCTCTTGTTTCCTCCTCTTGTCTTCCTCTCCATATTTCCACCCTCTCGTTTTCTTCCTTCTTGACTCCTTCCTCTCGTTTTTTCCCTCGTGTCTCGCTTCCCTTCCTTCCCATTCCCATCTCTCCCAACGTTCAGTCAGGGGGTGGCAACAACACGTATGACAAGTTTGGGCAGACGAGGAGGAGGGGCGACGTGACAGTTGGCGCAGGGATGATAGTGGCAGCGTCAACCACGGACGACCCCACACAGCCCTGGAACGTCTTCTTCATTCCTGGCTCGTTCGTTCGCCTCCTTTTTGTTCTCAGCCTTTTCCCTCACCTTTCCTCACCTCACCCTTTCTCTCCATTTTGCAACGGAGTTTCGGTCGCACCCTTTTTCTCACATTTTCTCACTTCTCACCCTTTCTCACGTTCATCCGCTGCTCTCCACATGCCTCTTCCTGCAACAGCAGCCCCATTCCAGACTGTTTATATCCCTGCTCTGTCCTTCTCACCTAGTTCCTCAAATTCTCCTCTTCTCTTACTTTCCATCTCCCTCTTTCTCCTCTCTGTTTCCTCCCTCTCCCCACCTCCTCACCCCACACCCCCCCTCCCAGCAACGATGGCATCAACTCCAATCCGGACTGGAGGGCGCCTCTCCACTCCCAGGGTTTAGGCACACTGTTCCTCCCTCAACCCCCCTCCGCCCTTTCCCCCCGCCTCAAACCCCCCTCCCAGAAACGATGGCATCAACTCCAATCCGGATTGGAGGGCGCCTCTCCACTTTCAAGGTCAAGGGAAAACTGTTTCCTCCCTCAAACCCCCCTCCGTCCTTCCCCCCCTCCGTCCGTCCCTTACTCCTCTCCCCCCTCTCGCAGCAACGATGGCATCAACTCCAATCCGGACTGGAGGGCGCCTCTCCACTTCAACTCGTCTCGACTCACCACGTTCTGTAAGTTGAATCATGGCATGGCATGGCATGGGGTGCTGCCTTGTGTAATGAGTCGAGTTTTGAGTCGACTAAAAACTCGTTCTGTATGGTGAATCATGGCATGGCATGGGGTGCTGCCTTGGATGCGTGTGAAGGTGGGGTGATGGGATGCGTGATGGACATGTGAAGGTGGTGATGGGATGGGTGATGGACGTGTGATGGTTGGGTGATGGTGCGCAAGAGCTAACGATAGTATATTTATATACAGATTTATATTTATATACAAATATATATTTATATGCAGATATGTATTTATATACATTATCATGCACGTCAACGATCCTCTTCCGCGTCTTTCTCATTTCCGATGTGCAATTGGCCTCTGCTAATTCATCCCTTGCTTTACCGTCCAGACCCCCCCCACTCCTTTCGTTTTCCCTCTTGCTGTCACGTCACCTGCCCCCCCATCCCTCTTCGATCTTGCCCTTCTCCCCTTCGGATGGTCCTTCACTAAATTAGCAACGGAGTTACATCGTGCCCTTCTCCCCTTCTCTACCGTTTGCTTTCCTTCCCCCCATCAGTGGACTACCCTCAGATCGGCACAGATGCCTATGGTATGTGTGTTGGGAATAAGCAGCAATCATGTGCCTATGGTATGTGTGGTAGAGAAAAGCAGCAATCATGTGCCTATGGTATGTGTGGTAGAGAAAAGCAGCAATCATGTGCCTATGGTATGTGTGGTAGAGAAAAGCAGCAATCATGTGCCTATGGTATGTGTGTTGGGAAAAAGCAGCAATCATGTGTTCAAAGCATGTTCCTATCGTATGCCCAAATCAAGTCAGGGGGTGCGAGCATTGTCATGTGCCTATCGGCTGTACTTCAACTTTTCTGCTCAAATCATCTCTCGCTCTCGATTACAGCCCATTGTAGAGAGGGTGTTTGTGAGACGTCTCAATTGATTTCTCTCGATTACAGCCCATTGTAGAGAGGGTGTTTGTGAGACGTCTCAATTGATTTCTCTCGATTACAGCCCATTGTAGAGAGGGTGTTTGTGAGACGTCTCAATTGATTTCTCTCGATTACAGCCCATTGTAGAGAGGGTGTTTGTGAGACGTCTCAATTGATTTCTCTCGATTACAGCCCATTGTAGAGAGGGTGTTTGTGAGACGTCTCAATTGATTTCTCTCGATTACAGCCCATTGTAGAGAGGGTGTTTGTGAGACGTCTCAATTGATTTCTCTCGATTACAGCCCATTGTAGAGAGGGTGTTGTTGAGACGTCTCAATTGATTTCTCTCGATTACAGCCCATTGTAGAGAGGGTGTTTGTGAGACGTCTCAAAAACACCCTTTCTGCTCAAATCATCTCTCGCTCCCGATTACAGCCCATTGATTTCCTGTATGGGCCTTCCCCACTGCCTGCACCCGCCGTCCCCCCTCACCAGGATTTTACGTGTCGGTAAACCAATATTCGGAGTCATTGGAGCAAGTATATGGGGCGGGCATATAGTGAGTATATGGGGCGGGCATATAGTGAGTATATGGGGCGGGCATCTAGTGAGTGTCTTGGCACTTCATCACGCACCTCAAACACAGCAAGTATCTGCAAGCGACATATGCAATCTTTTCCCTTTGCTTACGCATTTCCTTCTGCATTATTCATGCGTACATAACACTTCCAGGTTCCAACCATGCCGGACTCATGCATCCATGCATACCCACATGCAAACCCCCATCCATGCATCCATGCATACCCACATGCAAACCCGCATCCATGCATACCCACATGCAAACCCGCATCCATGCATACCCACATGCAAACCCGCATCCATGCATACCCACATGCAAACCTGCATCCATGCATCCATGCATACCCACATGTGTAAGCTCTAGTGACAATCTCTCCCATCAATTCCACTTCTTACCACCCCATCACAATCCTCCCCATCCTCTTATTCCCCCTCTCCCCCCACATCATCTCCTTCTTCTTCCATTCCTGCTCCTCACCTCCCTCCTCCTCTGCCTTCCCTCCCGCCAACCTCCTTCCCAACCAGTGCAGCCGCCAAGCCCCAGCTTCAAATTCCAGAGAATGCACGTGAATATGCCTCCTCCTCCCCTGCTCCTTCCCTCCCCCTCCTCCCCTGATCCTCCCCTCCCCTGCTCCTCCCCTCCCCCGCCTCCCCAACCAGTGCAATCGCCAAGTCCCAGCTCCAAGCACCCGAGAATGCCACCATTCTCCGCTTCGTCGTGCCTTACACTGCGAGCGTTCTCAGTCCATCCTACACCATCTACCCTCAGAAGGTCGCTGCCGATGGGGACTACGACTACCGCCACGGCGGCACCATGTATTTCGGATGGACGGGAGTTAACCCCAACCGTGGTGCTCCAAACGAAACCGTGCTTATCACCAACTTCACCACAGTGGGAGCCTTTGCTATAACGGGTACAAGCGCTCTGGGAACCCCTGAAGCCGAGCGCTTGGTCGAACCCCACTGTGCGGCCGTCAACACTCCGCCGTTCTTCATTCCCCGGCCTGTGGAGCAGAAGCCCGGGCCTGTTCCTACAGCTTGGCAGATGAACAGTACGATCAAGCCCATCGGCCCTTCAGAGATCGATGCGAGAGGCGTGGTGGTGAATCCGGAGAGCAGGCGCATGTGGGTCAGCTTTATGTCGGCGTTTGGCAAGGACATGAGTGCTGCTGCCGTGGTGGTGAGGCTTCGCCTGTCCCTCCGGCCTCAGCGCAAGTGGCGCACGCTTCGGGTGTTTTTGGAGCGGTTCAAAGTGGTGGGGGTGGGCGGAGGGAACAGCCTCATTCAGGGCACCATCGCCCTCAACAGGTGAGAGAAAAGAGGGAGGCTTGCTCTTTCCCTCTTTTCTTTCTGTTGGAAACCCCTCTACACTCTGTTGGAGAAAAAAGAGACAAATTTCCAACCCCCCCCTGGAAGGCATCTCTCAAACCCCATCTCCTTCCCTCACTTCTCACACCCTTTGCCATCCCCTCATTCCCCTCCCTCCCGTTTCCCGGCGTGGGCATGATAGTAGCACCAAACCCGCCTTCTTTCTCTCTTGCCCAATCCCGCACTCCCCTGGCGCAGCCAAGGCAAGGGCATCATAGCAGCATCAACCCGTCTTCTTTCTCTCTTGCCATCCCCCCCCCCCCCCCTCCACCCCTTGGCAAGGGCATAATAACAGCTTCAAACCCGTCTTCTTTCTCTCTTGCCATCCCCCCCCCCCCCCCTCCACCCCTCAAGCTTGGCAAGGGCATAATAACAGCTTCAAACCCGTCTTCTTTCTCTCTTGCCATCCCCTCACGCCCCCCCCAGGCACGGCGTGGGCATCATAGCAGCATCGCTGGCAGGGCGTTCCTTCTACCCCTCAGCTGCCTATGCCACTCTCAACGCCAATGTGGATGTCGGCCGCGTCGTCATTGCCGGCCCGGGGAAAGCGCCTCTCGACGACTATACGGGTGAGTTTGTTATTATGCGTGCTCTGCTGCTTGCTGGTACTCGTTTGTTGCCAGTTGGGATCTAGCTGCCTTTTGCCTGTTGGGCAAGAAAAGGCAGTTCGAAGGCAGCCAACGCAGGTGAGGGAGAGCCCACGTGGGTGAGGGAGAGCCCACGTGGACTGTATGTACGCTTTACAGCATGCGAGAAAGGGGCTCCCACCCCTCTCTCCTCCCGTGCAGTGCACGCAGCACACCCCCACTTCCCTGCTCACGGTATTTGAACGGTGCAACGGAGCATCGGTATGACCAATGGCCTCTCCCCCCCTCTCCCCCTTTTTCCTACTCCCACACGCACCTCCACCCTCCTCTCTCCCCTTCAGGGTACCGCGTTGGTGCAACGGAGATGCGATATGGTGACTACATGACGGCAACGGTGGACGAGGAGGGCAACGCGTGGGCGGCAGTGCAGTATGTGGCGGGGCAGCCGCGCACCGAGTGGAGCAACTGGGCTGCCTTCGTCTTCAAAGTCGACCTGCAGGGGGGGGAAGGGGACGGGGGGAACGGGGACGATGGGGGGAATGGGGGTAATGGGGACAACGGGGGGAATGGGGATGACGAGGGAAATGGGGACAACGGGGGGAATGGGGACAACGGGGGGAATGGGGATAACGGGGGAGATGGGGATAACAGGGGGAATGGCGGCCATGGGGGGAGTTAGGAGGCTGGTGGGAGGAGAAGGGGGGCAGGGGTGAACGAGGAGGGCAACGCATGGGCATCAGTGGCGGGGCACCCCAGGACTGAGAGGAGCAACTGGGGCACCTGCGTCTCCTTGCACGAGGGGGGGGACAAGGAACAAGGGGAATGGGCTTAAAGAAGGGGGTGGGGATAGCATGGGGATGGGTGTTAAGAGGGGAATAAAGTGGGAAATGGGGACATGGAAGGAGTTGGGGAGAAGGATGCATTGACAGGAGCGATGGTGCCGGTGGAAGGGAGAGAAGAATATGCGAGGACATGGAGGAATAAAGTGGGAAATGGAGAGAAGGGGGGTTGGGTGGGGGGGTGGAGTGAAGAATGCTTTGGCAGCAGCGATGGCAATGGTGGAGATGATGGCAATGGTGGGGGTGATGGTGCTGGTGGGGGAGAGAGTGGGGAGAATGCGAGGACTCGGAGGGAGGGGCGAGAAAGGGATTTTGAAGGTCACGATGAACGGAGAACGGTGGCCATGGTGACAGTGGTGGTGGCAGTGGTAGCAAGGATGGTGGTGGTGGCAGTGGTAGCAAGGATGGTGGTGGTGGCAGTGGTAGCAAGGATGGTGGTGGTGGCAGTGGTAGTGGTATCTGTTATCATGGGGTTGGCATCATGTCAGGTGTGTGTTGCTACCTCAGCAACACCGGCTGTCATCCTGCAACTCCAGCTATGACTGACAGCCCATTGCATGCCATGTCACACATTCTTATATGTCGCTACTTACCTGAAATGTGTTGATCATGAAGTGATTGTGAATTCTACTTATATGCAGTAGGGATGGGGTGGGAAGGGGGAGGGGGGAGAAGGGGGGAGGGGGAGTTACTATCAACCAATTGATAGTTTGAAGGTGAGTTAGACTTAGTTCTAACGTTTCAGACAGATAGCTGACATTCTGGTAAAGGTTTGCATATTTTAACCACCTTAGCTAGTCAGGACTGAGTGCATTGAAATAACTCATTAAAAAGGTGGTAATATGAAACATATTTGACACTTCACGCTTTTAGTGACCATGTTTATTTCGTTATTCAGGACACCTCCAACGCGAATGGCCTCTGGTTTCCCATTCTCGAGCCGCACGGCGGCGGAAAAACCCGCAAGACATTGACCATCGGGACTTGTGGCTTCGCCGCACTCCTTGGGCATTTACACACGATGCCCGGTTGAGCCCCCTGACCTTGCCTTACTTTCTGGGCGTATAAGCGATTTTTGCGTTTCGCAAAGGTTTCGGCAATTCGCACCTAGCAAAAAGGGCTTATAAAAAACATTGTAACTTACCGTTGACTGTTTGACTTCGGTCTCTTCAGTCAAGCTTCGGTTTCTGTGGTTACGATTGGTTCAAATCTCTGCAACTTGCTCGAGGTGCTTGTAAGTAGGGTGCAACTTCACGGCACAAAACCCACGGGTGCAAGGTTTCCATCCGGTACAGGGCAATTTCGCGTGCAGGGAGTGAGCATCATGTGTATGTAGGCTCCTGTACCAGTGTGGGTTTTAGGAAAACACTCTCCCGACAACGGGAAAACAGTACATGGGCCGGAAATTGCTGGGAACAAAAGTCAACCAACTGGTGGGGAAACGGGACTCCTACCGACTCCTACCGCACAACTTTCATCCTGACAGACGGTGGGGCTGTGGCTCGTACAGTAGATGTTTGTCAATGCCAAACAACATCCCACAAACCTCCCCACCGAGCAATGTCCACATGCGGTTTCCTATGCGAGACGCTCATCGACGCACACTGCCCCGCCACCCTCACAAACAAATCAACAGCAAAATGGCCCCTTATGCCCCTTATGTAGAAGCATCAACGTTGTATGTTCACAGCTTCAACCATTGTTCACTTCTGCTAAGAGCCCCAGCGCAATGGCTCCTCACCAGGCCTCCCCTCGCCTCTGTTATCACGCCGCACTGCTGCTCGCGCTTTTACTGCTGCTAGCTCCGCCGCGGGGAGCGAATGCAGCGTCGCGCGTCGTGATTGCGCCGATGCGCGGATCGAACGACCGCGTGGAGGTGTTCAAGCTGTCGGAGAACCTCTGGTTCGCCGGAACCGCGCAGCTGCCGCCGTTTGAAGACGTTGGAAACGGTGGGAACAGCGAAGGAGATAACAGCGGCGGAGATAGTAACGGCGGCGGAGATAACAGCGGCGGAGATAACAGCGGCGGAGATAACAGCGGAAGCCACGGCAACAGCACCGGTTATGACAACAGCGGAGGCGATTCGAGCGCGGGGATCGCGGACGGCCCGCGCGACTCCATGGAGACGCGCAAGGAGGAGCTGCTTGCGCGGCTCCGCGGCGGCGGAATGGAAGCCGCAAACGCCGGCGGCGATCAGGGGAGCCCCGCGTCTGCGCCCGCCGCAGCCCCTGCGAGCGCGCCGGCTCCCGCTGTGGATCCGCTGGAGCAACAGATGGTAGGCTCGCGACTCGGAGGTTACGGTTCAGGGTGCGATTTTAGGACAGTATATTCATCGCGGAAAACACAAGCCAGAAAAGCAACGCAAAAGTGACACATATGCCACTTTCGAGATGCGAAAACCAAGTAGCTTTCCAGTCATGGTCAAAAGCAACAGAGTCAACGTGACCCAACTTTCAACGTCAAAGCTACCGAAACACCTCGCCCATGTTGCGACTACCCTGCGCTCCAAAGTCACGTAAAACGAAACATGCACTCAGCAGCCGAGTCCGTCACCCACGCGTCGCTTAAATGTCACCTTCCCCAACGAACCGTACACGCACACGTGGCCGGTACATGTAACGAGACGGCCGCATTACGTGTACGGTCATTACCTTGCCATTTGTCGCCATGACAGCTTTCATCCAACAGCTGAGGCCGGTTGGGGTTCGCCACTGTGGCCGCTCAGGGTTGGTCGTTGCGACGTACCCAGGAGCCAATGGCCTGAGTGTGTACCCGTTCGCGGAGCCACGTATCCTTGCGCGCCAAGTGTCCTTTCTCCCACTCTTTGCTGATGTAATACAGTATTTACATTTTTGGCAAAAGCCGATGCGCCGTACGCCTCTCGCAATGGGCGAGGTTCTAAAGGTTTTCTTTCCTCCCGCGTTTCCCAAAACAGGAGGAGCGATTGGCGGAGGTGGGGGAATTCTCGGCGCGCACGACAGAGCTGAAACAAGTGGTGAAGCGGAAACCGGCGGTTGGGTTTCCCGGTATAAGCGAGTACAGCGGAGTAATGAGCGGTACAACGCCTAATTACAACAATACAGTGGTAAGAAACGTGCTTTTAAGTATACAGTGCTGATTTTGGACGTGCATGAATTGAACACTAAATATGCTCCTTGTTACGTTTCAGGTCGTTGTGAGCCCTCCTGACGTTGCTCTGTGTGTGGGCAACGGATACATCCTTCACACTGTCAACGTTGGTAAGCCTCTCTTCCTTTTGAGGCGTCTCAGAGGTCCGTGCTTTTCCTCCTGACGTCGCTCCGTGTGTGGGCAACGGAAACATCCTTCACACTGTCAACGTTGGTAAGCGTTTCTTTCACCTGCTTCCTCTTGCATTCACTGCCGCGCTGCTCCATTCCTTTCGATCATTTTCACCCCCCACATCCCCTCCATCTTCCCCCACTCCCACTCCCTCTCCTCCCCTCCTACTCGCCCCCCCTGGCAGCGATGGTTGTGTATGACAAGCAAGGGAAGCAGCTCACTCACTTGCATCTCCCTCCCTATTCTCACTCGATTCCTTTTGACTGCTTTCTCCTCCCCCACCCATTCCCCTTACCCCCCCACCCTATGCGCCCCCATGGCAGCAATGGTTGTGTACGACAAGCAAGGGAAGCAGCTCACTCGCATCATCCCACACAACGAGGCAAGTGCTAAAGCAATCATGTTCGCTCGCATGCAAGACAACGTGAGTGCAGACATGTGCACCTCTGGCATGCTCCTAAATGCCATGCTCTGTGTCCCCCCCCTCTCTCGTTCTCTCGTCTTCTGTCTCCCACTCTCACCATCGATGTCAAATGCGGGCCTCTTTTCAATCTTCCTCCCACTCCCTCTCTCGCCCTCGCTCTGCCTCTCCTCCACAACCCTGCACCACACACTCCTCCACCCGCACCACACACTCCTCCACCCGCACCACACACTCCTCCACCCGCACCACACACTCCTCCACCCGCACCACACACTCCACCCGCACCACACACTCCACCCGCACCACACACTCCACCCGCACCACACACTCCACCCGCACCACACACTCCACCCGCACCACACACTCCACCCGCAGCAGCGGGTGGAGCGGGCGACAAGGGCCCCGATCACCCGCTGCCCCTCTCCTCCCTTGCTGTCACTTCGTCAGGGTGCCGCCATCGATGGTACAGTAACAAACTTCTTCACACACCAACACAATCCCACCGTCCGCCCTCCCTCCCTCCACAATCATCCCACCAGATTTTCAAGGTCCTGCCATCAGTGGTGGAGAGGAGAGAGCCTCTCAACACATCAGTAATCAACTAATAAACTGACACCATCCTACCATCCCACCACCCACCCCTCCTTTCACGGCCCCCACGCCAGTTCTTCGGGGTTCTACCATCAGTGGTGGAGAGGAGACAGCCTCTCAACGCATCAGTATTCGGGGACAGCATCGGCGACATGACATGCACATATGACCGCCAGGCCAAGCGCTTCTACCTCTCCACCTACTGGACTGTGAGTGGGTGGTGGTGATGCACTAGAGTGTGCGGTGCTGCTGGGTGCTGCTGGCTGCGGCTCGGTGCTGCTGGGTGCTGCTGGGTGCTGGATGAATCCAACGCATCAGTGTTCGGAGACATTGGCGACGTGAGATGCACATATGACCCCCGGGCCAGGCGTTTCTACCTCTCCACCTACTGGACTGTGAGTGGGTGGTGGTGATGCACTAGAGTGTGGGGTGCTGCTGGGTGCTGCTGGCTGCGGCTCGGTGCTGCTGGGTGCTGCTGGGTGCTGGATGAATCCAACGCATCAGTGTTCGGAGACATTGGCGACGTGAGATGCACATATGACCCCCGGGCCAGGCGTTTCTACCTCTCCACCTACTGGACTGTGAGTGGGTGGTGGTGATGCACTAGAGTGTGGGGTGCTGCTGGGTGCTGCTGGCTGCGGCTCGGTGCTGCTGGGTGCTGCTGGGTGCTGGATGAATCCAACGCATCAGTGTTCGGAGACATTGGCGACGTGAGATGCACATATGACCCCCGGGCCAGGCGTTTCTACCTCTCCACCTACTGGACTGTGAGTGGGTGGTGGTGATGCACTAGAGTGTGCGGTGCTGCTGGGTGCTGCTGGCTGCGGCTCGGTGCTGCTGGGTGCTGCTGGGTGCTGGATGAATCCAACGCATCAGTGTTCGGAGACATTGGCGACATGAGATGCACATATGACCCCCGGGCCAGGCGTTTCTACCTCTCCACCTACTAAACTGTGAGTCGTGGTGGGGGTGCACTAGAGCGTGCGGTGCTGTGCGGTGCTGCTGGGTGCTGCTGGGTGCTGAATGAAGCCAGCACATCAGCGTTTAGCGACAGCATCGGCGACATGACATGCACGTATGACCGCCAGGCAAAGCGCTTCTACCTCTCCACCTTCTGGACTGTGGGTGTGGCATAGCCTTGGTCTTGAGCCATTCACCCAAGTATTGAGCGCTGATCCTGCCACGGCATTCCCACCTCCCTCATTTCCTCCCTAAGGTTGATTCCTCCCTCTCTTGTTTCCTCCCTCCTCGCGCCACTTTCCCAGTACGAACCTTTCCCCCCTCTTGGAGTATTGTACTCCCTCTCGTATTCCTCTCTCAAACGGTCCTTTGTGTTGATTCAGGGGGGATAAAAACATGTAGGTTTAACAACAATCTCCTTTAACCCTCGTCATTCCTAGACCCCATTCTCTCCCTCTCGTTTTCCTCCTTCATTCTCTTCTGCTCGATTTCCTCAGCCATTCTCTTCCTTCTCATTGTCCTTCCTCTGATTACACTCTCAAACATCGCCCTCCCTCCCATTCCCATCCCTCCCCACTCCCAGTCCGGGGGTGCCAACAACACGTATGACAAGTTTGGGCAGACGAGGAGGCGAGGCAACGTGACAGTGGCCTCAGGGCTGATAGTGGCAGCGACAACCACGGATGACCCCACAAAGGAGTGGAACCTCTTCTTCATCCCCGGCTCGTATGCTCGCCCCCCTTTCGCTCACGCCATTTCTCATGTTTTTCTGGTCCTGATTGCTCACGCTTTTACACCAATTGCCCTAGCTCCCCAATTCCCCTTGCTCCCCAATTCCCCTTGCTCCCCAATTCCCCTTGCTCCCCAATTCCCCTTGCTCCCCAATTCCCCTTGCTCCCCAATTCCCCTTGCTCCCCAATTCCCCTTGCTCCCCAATTCCCCTTGCTCCCCAAATCCCCTTGCTCCCCAAATCCCCTTGCTCCCCAAATCCCCTTGCTCCCCAACTCCCCTTCTTCTCTACGCCTCCCAGACTTCCATCTTCTCCTTCCCCGTGTTTCCTCCCTCTCCCCCACCATTCCCTCCCAGCAACGATGGCATCAACTCCAATCCGGACTGGAGGGCGCCTCTGCACTTCAACTCGTCTCGACTCACCATGTTTTGTATGCTGGGTCCTGTCGCTCGCGTGTGAGGGTGTGGATGAAGGTTATGTGAGGGTGTGGATGAAGGTTATGTGAGGGTGTGGATGAAGGTTATGTGAGGGTGTGGATGAAGGTTATGTGATGGTGTGGATGAAGGTTATGTGATGGTGTGGATGAAGGTTATGTGATGGTGTGGATGAAGGTTATGTGAGGGTGTGGATGAAGGTTATGTGAGGGTGTGGATGAAGGTTATGTGATGGTGTGGATGAAGGTTATGTGATGGTGTGGATGAAGGTTATGTGACGGTGTGGATGAAGGTTATGTGAGGGTGTGGATGAAGGTTATGTGAGGGTGTGGATGAAGGTTATGTGAGGGTGTGGATGAAGGTTATGTGAGGGTGTGGATGAAGGTTATGTGAGGGTGTGGATGAAGGTTATGTGATGGTGTGGATGAAGGTTATGTGATGGTGTGGATGAAGGTTATGTGATGGTGTGGATGAAGGTTATGTGATGGTGTGGATGAAGGTTATGTGAGGGTGTGGATGAAGGTTATGTGATGGTGTGGATGAAGGTTATGTGATGGTGTGGATGAAGGTTATGTGATGGTGTGGATGAAGGTTATGTGAGGGTGTGGATGAAGGTTATGTGAGGGTGTGGATGAAGGTTATGTGATGGTGTGGATGAAGGTTATGTGATGGTGTGGATGAAGGTTATGTGAGGGTGTGGATGAAGGTTATGTGAGGGTGTGGATGAAGGTTATGTGAGGGTGTGGATGAAGGTTATGTGATGGTGTGGATGAAGTTTATGTGATGGTGTGGATGAAGGTTATGTGATGGTGTGGATGAAGGTTATGTGAGGGTGTGGATGAAGGTTATGTGATGGTGTGGATGAAGGTTATGTGAGGGTGTGGATGAAGGTTATGTGAGGGTGTGGATGAAGGTTATGTGATGGTGTGGATGAAGGTTATGTGAGGGTGTGGATGAAGGTTATGTGATGGTGTGGATGAAGGTTATGTGATGGTGTGGATGAAGGTTATGTGAGGGTGTGGATGAAGGTTATGTGAGGGTGTGGATGAAGGTTATGTGAGGGTGTGGTTGAAGGTTATGTGATGGTGTGGATGAAGGTTATGTGATGGTGTGGATAAAGGTTATGTGATGGTGTGGATGAAGGTTATGTGAGGGTGTGGATGAAGGTTATGTGATGGTGTGGATGAAGGTTATGTGATGGTGTGGATGAAGGTTATGTGATGGTGTGGATGAAGGTTATGTGATGGTGTGGATGAAGGTTATGTGATAGTGTGGATGAAGGTTATGTGAGGGTGTGGATGAAGGTTATTTGATGGTGTGGATGAAGGTTATGTGAGGGTGTGGATGAAGGTTATGTGATGGTGTGGATGAAGGTTATGTGATGGTGTGGATGAAGGTTATGTGATGGTGTGGATGAAGGTTATGTGAGGGTGTGGATGAAGGTTATGTGAGGGTGTGGATGAAGGTTATGTGATGGTGTGGATGAAGGTTATGTGATGGTGTGGATGAAGGTTATGTGATGGTGTGGATGAAGGTTATGTGATGGTGTGGATGAAGGTTATGTGAGGGTGTGGATGAAGGTTATGTGATGGTGTGGATGAAGGTTATGTGATGGTGTGGATGAAGGTTATGTGATGGTGTGGATGAAGGTTATGTGAGGGTGTGGATGAAGGTTATGTGATGGTGTGGATGAAGGTTATGTGATGGTGTGGATGAAGGTTATGTGAGGGTGTGGATGAAGGTTATGTGATGGTGTGGATGAAGGTTATGTGAGGGTGTGGATGAAGGTTATGTGATGGTGTGGATGAAGGTTATGTGAGGGTGTGGATGAAGGTTATGTGAGGGTGTGGATGAAGGTTATGTGATGGTGTGGATGAAGGTTATGTGAGGGTGTGGATGAAGGTTATGTGATGGTGTGGATGAAGGTTATGTGAGGGTGTGGATGAAGGTTATGTGATGGTGTGGATGAAGGTTATGTGAGGGTGTGGATGAAGGTTATGTGAGGGTGTGGATGAAGGTTATGTGATGGTGTGGATGAAGGTTATGTGAGGGTGTGGATGAAGGTTATGTGAGGGTGTGGATGAAGGTTATGTGAGGGTGTGGATGAAGGTTATGTGATGGTGTGGATGAAGGTTATGTGAGGGTGTGGATGAAGGTTATGTGAGGGTGTGGATGAAGGTTATGTGAGGGTGTGGATGAAGGTTATGTGAGGGTGTGGATGAAGGTTATGTGAGGGTGTGGATGAAGGTTATGTGAGGGTGTGGATGAAGGTTATGTGAGGGTGTGGATGAAGGTTATGTGAGGGTGTGGATGAAGGTTATGTGAGGGTGTGGATGAAGGTTATGTGAGGGTGTGGATGAAGGTTATGTGATGGTGTGGATGAAGGTTATGTGAGGGTGTGGATGAAGGTTATGTGATGGTGTGGATGAAGGTTATGTGAGGGTGTGGATGAAGGTTATGTGATGGTGTGGATGAAGGTTATGTGAGGGTGTGGATGAAGGTTATGTGAGGGTGTGGATGAAGGTTATGTGAGGGTGTGGATGAAGGTTATGTGATGGTGTGGATGAAGGTTATGTGAGGGTGTGGATGAAGGTTATGTGAGGGTGTGGATGAAGGTTATGTGAGGGTGTGGATGAAGGTTATGTGAGGGTGTGGATGAAGGTTATGTGAGGGTGTGGATGAAGGTTATGTGATGGTGTGGATGAAGGTTATGTGAGGGTGTGGATGAAGGTTATGTGATGGTGTGGATGAAGGTTATGTGATGGTGTGGATGAAGGTTATGTGAGGGTGTGGATGAAGGTTATGTGATGGTGTGGATGAAGGTTATGTGAGGGTGTGGATGAAGGTTATGTGATGGTGTGGATGAAGGTTATGTGATGGTGTGGATGAAGGTTATGTGAGGGTGTGGATGAAGGTTATGTGATGGTGTGGATGAAGGTTATGTGATGGTGTGGATGAAGGTTATGTGAGGGTGTGGATGAAGGTTATGTGATGGTGTGGATGAAGGTTATGTGATGGTGTGGATGAAGGTTATGTGAGGGTGTGGATGAAGGTTATGTGAGGGTGTGGATGAAGGTTATGTGATGGTGTGGATGAAGGTTATGTGAGGGTGTGGATGAAGGTTATGTGATGGTGTGGATGAAGGTTATGTGATGGTGTGGATGAAGGTTATGTGAGGGTGTGGATGAAGGTTATGTGAGGGTGTGGATGAAGGTTATGTGATGGTGTGGATGAAGGTTATGTGATGGTGTGGATGAAGGTTATGTGAGGGTGTGGATGAAGGTTATGTGATGGTGTGGATGAAGGTTATGTGAGGGTGTGGATGAAGGTTATGTGATGGTGTGGATGAAGGTTATGTGATGGTGTGGATGAAGGTTATGTGAGGGTGTGGATGAAGGTTATGTGATGGTGTGGATGAAGGTTATGTGAGGGTGTGGATGAAGGTTATGTGAGGGTGTGGATGAAGGTTATGTGAGGGTGTGGATGAAGGTTATGTGATGGTGTGGATGAAGGTTATGTGAGGGTGTGGATGAAGGTTATGTGAGGGTGTGGATGAAGGTTATGTGAGGGTGTGGATGAAGGTTATGTGATGGTGTGGATGAAGGTTATGTGAGGGTGTGGATGAAGGTTATGTGATGGTGTGGATGAAGGTTATGTGATGGTGTGGATGAAGGTTATGTGATGGTGTGGATGAAGGTTATGTGATGGTGTGGATGAAGGTTATGTGATGGTGTGGATGAAGGTTATGTGATAGTGTGGATGAAGGTTATGTGAGGGTGTGGATGAAGGTTATTTGATGGTGTGGATGAAGGTTATGTGATGGTGTGGATGAAGGTTATGTGATGGTGTGGATGAAGGTTATGTGATGGTGTGGATGAAGGTTATGTGAGGGTGTGGATGAAGGTTATGTGAGGGTGTGGATGAAGGTTATGTGATGGTGTGGATGAAGGTTATGTGATGGTGTGGATGAAGGTTATGTGATGGTGTGGATGAAGGTTATGTGATGGTGTGGATGAAGGTTATGTGAGGGTGTGGATGAAGGTTATGTGATGGTGTGGATGAAGGTTATGTGATGGTGTGGATGAAGGTTATGTGATGGTGTGGATGAAGGTTATGTGAGGGTGTGGATGAAGGTTATGTGATGGTGTGGATGAAGGTTATGTGATGGTGTGGATGAAGGTTATGTGAGGGTGTGGATGAAGGTTATGTGATGGTGTGGATGAAGGTTATGTGAGGGTGTGGATGAAGGTTATGTGATGGTGTGGATGAAGGTTATGTGAGGGTGTGGATGAAGGTTATGTGAGGGTGTGGATGAAGGTTATGTGATGGTGTGGATGAAGGTTATGTGAGGGTGTGGATGAAGGTTATGTGATGGTGTGGATGAAGGTTATGTGAGGGTGTGGATGAAGGTTATGTGATGGTGTGGATGAAGGTTATGTGAGGGTGTGGATGAAGGTTATGTGAGGGTGTGGATGAAGGTTATGTGATGGTGTGGATGAAGGTTATGTGAGGGTGTGGATGAAGGTTATGTGAGGGTGTGGATGAAGGTTATGTGAGGGTGTGGATGAAGGTTATGTGATGGTGTGGATGAAGGTTATGTGAGGGTGTGGATGAAGGTTATGTGAGGGTGTGGATGAAGGTTATGTGAGGGTGTGGATGAAGGTTATGTGAGGGTGTGGATGAAGGTTATGTGAGGGTGTGGATGAAGGTTATGTGAGGGTGTGGATGAAGGTTATGTGAGGGTGTGGATGAAGGTTATGTGAGGGTGTGGATGAAGGTTATGTGAGGGTGTGGATGAAGGTTATGTGAGGGTGTGGATGAAGGTTATGTGATGGTGTGGATGAAGGTTATGTGAGGGTGTGGATGAAGGTTATGTGATGGTGTGGATGAAGGTTATGTGAGGGTGTGGATGAAGGTTATGTGATGGTGTGGATGAAGGTTATGTGAGGGTGTGGATGAAGGTTATGTGAGGGTGTGGATGAAGGTTATGTGAGGGTGTGGATGAAGGTTATGTGATGGTGTGGATGAAGGTTATGTGAGGGTGTGGATGAAGGTTATGTGAGGGTGTGGATGAAGGTTATGTGAGGGTGTGGATGAAGGTTATGTGAGGGTGTGGATGAAGGTTATGTGAGGGTGTGGATGAAGGTTATGTGATGGTGTGGATGAAGGTTATGTGAGGGTGTGGATGAAGGTTATGTGATGGTGTGGATGAAGGTTATGTGATGGTGTGGATGAAGGTTATGTGAGGGTGTGGATGAAGGTTATGTGATGGTGTGGATGAAGGTTATGTGAGGGTGTGGATGAAGGTTATGTGATGGTGTGGATGAAGGTTATGTGATGGTGTGGATGAAGGTTATGTGAGGGTGTGGATGAAGGTTATGTGATGGTGTGGATGAAGGTTATGTGATGGTGTGGATGAAGGTTATGTGAGGGTGTGGATGAAGGTTATGTGATGGTGTGGATGAAGGTTATGTGATGGTGTGGATGAAGGTTATGTGAGGGTGTGGATGAAGGTTATGTGAGGGTGTGGATGAAGGTTATGTGATGGTGTGGATGAAGGTTATGTGAGGGTGTGGATGAAGGTTATGTGATGGTGTGGATGAAGGTTATGTGATGGTGTGGATGAAGGTTATGTGAGGGTGTGGATGAAGGTTATGTGAGGGTGTGGATGAAGGTTATGTGATGGTGTGGATGAAGGTTATGTGATGGTGTGGATGAAGGTTATGTGAGGGTGTGGATGAAGGTTATGTGATGGTGTGGATGAAGGTTATGTGAGGGTGTGGATGAAGGTTATGTGATGGTGTGGATGAAGGTTATGTGATGGTGTGGATGAAGGTTATGTGAGGGTGTGGATGAAGGTTATGTGATGGTGTGGATGAAGGTTATGTGATGGTGTGGATGAAGGTTATGTGATGGTGTGGATGAAGGTTATGTGAGGGTGTGGATGAAGGTTATGTGATGGTGTGGATGAAGGTTATGTGAGGGTGTGGATGAAGGTTATGTGATGGTGTGGATGAAGGTTATGTGATGGTGTGGATGAAGGTTATGTGAGGGTGTGGATGAAGGTTATGTGAGGGTGTGGATGAAGGTTATGTGAGGGTGTGGATGAAGGTTATGTGAGGGTGTGGATGAAGGTTATGTGAGGGTGTGGATGAAGGTTATGTGAGGGTGTGGATGAAGGTTATGTGATGGTGTGGATGAAGGTTATGTGAGGGTGTGGATGAAGGTTATGTGAGGGTGTGGATGAAGGTTATGTGATGGTGTGGATGAAGGTTATGTGAGGGTGTGGATGAAGGTTATGTGAGGGTGTGGATGAAGGTTATGTGAGGGTGTGGATGAAGGTTATGTGAGGGTGTGGATGAAGGTTATGTGAGGGTGTGGATGAAGGTTATGTGATGGTGTGGATAAAGGTTATGTGATGGTGTGGATGAAGGTTATGTGAGGGTGTGGATGAAGGTTATGTGATGGTGTGGATGAAGGTTATGTGATGGTGTGGATGAAGGTTATGTGAGGGTGTGGATGAAGGTTATGTGATGGTGTGGATGAAGGTTATGTGAGGGTGTGGATGAAGGTTATTTGATGGTGTGGATGAAGGATATGTGAGGGTGTGGATGAAGGTTATGTGATGGTGTGGATGAAGGTTATGTGAGGGTGTGGATGAAGGTTATGTGATGGTGTGGATGAAGGTTATGTGATGGTGTGGATGAAGGTTATGTGATGGTGTGGATGAAGGTTATGTGAGGGTGTGGATGAAGGTTATGTGATGGTGTGGATGAAGGTTATGTGATGGTGTGGATGAAGGTTATGTGAGGGTGTGGATGAAGGTTATGTGAGGGTGTGGATGAAGGTTATGTGAGGGTGTGGATGAAGGTTATGTGAGGGTGTGGATGAAGGTTATGTGAGGGTGTGGATGAAGGTTATGTGAGGGTGTGGATGAAGGTTATGTGAGGGTGTGGATGAAGGTTATGTGAGGGTGTGGATGAAGGTTATGTGATGGTGTGGATGAAGGTTATGTGAGGGTGTGGATGAAGGTTATGTGATGGTGTGGATGAAGGTTATGTGATGGTGTGGATGAAGGTTATGTGAGGGTGTGGATGAAGGTTATGTGATGGTGTGGATGAAGGTTATGTGAGGGTGTGGATGAAGGTTATGTGAGGGTGTGGATGAAGGTTATGTGATGGTGTGGATGAAGGTTATGTGATGGTGTGGATGAAGGTTATGTGAGGGTGTGGATGAAGGTTATGTGAGGGTGTGGATGAAGGTTATGTGAGGGTGTGGATGAAGGTTATGTGATGGTGTGGATGAAGGTTATGTGATGGTGTGGATGAAGGTTATGTGATGGTGTGGATGAAGGTTATGTGAGGGTGTGGATGAAGGTTATGTGAGGGTGTGGATGAAGGTTATGTGAGGGTGTGGATGAAGGTTATGTGATGGTGTGGATGAAGGTTATGTGAGGGTGTGGATGAAGGTTATGTGATGGTGTGGATGAAGGTTATGTGATGGTGTGGATGAAGGTTATGTGAGGGTGTGGATGAAGGTTATGTGATGGTGTGGATGAAGGTTATGTGATGGTGTGGATGAAGGTTATGTGATGGTGTGGATGAAGGTTATGTGAGGGTGTGGATGAAGGTTATGTGATGGTGTGGATGAAGGTTATGTGAGGGTGTGGATGAAGGTTATGTGATGGTGTGGATGAAGGTTATGTGATGGTGTGGATGAAGGTTATGTGATGGTGTGGATGATGGTTATGGAATCTAGTTTTCAGACGTCTCAAAGCGAGGTTATGGAACTCGAATCATTCATGATGATAACCTGTAGATCCTGTACAGTATGAATCTTGGCGAGTTTGCGTTTTTGTAGTGAAGCATATATTGACTGGAATGGACATAACGTATCCATGTTCACGTGTTTCTCTTTCCTCCCATGCAATCGACCTCTTGCCCCATCGTTTGGCCTGCTTCTATTGCAGCCCACCTGTGCTGTGTCACTTGTCTGTTTAAGATGCCTTCTTCTCCCTTTCTCTTGCCCTACTCTTCTTCCCTCCCTCCCTTCCTTTCCCTCCCCCATCAGTGGACTACCCGCAAATCGGCACTGATGCTTACGGTACGCGTGTATTAAAACTGTCCCCCATCAGTCAGTGGACTACCCCAATCGTCTGAGTTCCATTATATGGTTATTCCAGTTCAAGTTGTTACATGGTTTCATAGCTGCTGAGTCTGACCCACACACACGGTATTTATCTACATTTTTTCAGAAAGGCCTACTGATTTCGCTCACTATCTGCTCGTGAGTCCAATGGAGCCCCAGGTTGGAGCCATTTCTTTACGTGGCAGCGACTCGCTTAGTTAAAAAGTAGAAAGTTGTGTTTGCTTGTAACTCACTATCTGCTCGTGACTTCCCCCCTACCAGGATTTTACGTGTCGATAAACCAATTCTCGGAGAAGCTTGACGACTACTATGGTTCTTGCATATAGTGAGTGTTTTATTTCATGGTTTTTGGATTTAGTGAGTGTTTTATTTCATGGTTTTTCATATAGTGAGTGTTTTATTTCCTGGTTTTTGCGTATAGTGAGTTTTTTATCTCATGGTTTTTGCATATAGTGAGTGGTTTGTCTCTCGAGCGCACCTCAAATCAAAGACAACATATATTTGCGGGCGGGCTATGAGTTGTCGCCCCTCTGCCCTTTGCCCACCATTGCTTACGCTCACAACAATCCCAACCCTTCCAAGTTCCAACCATGGTTCAGTCATGCATACACGTGAACATGCCTCCTCCCCTACTCCTCCCCTCCCCTTCCTCCCCTACCAGTGCAATCTCCAAGCCCCAGCTTCAAAGGCCAGAGAATGCCACCATTCTCCGCTTCGTCGTCCCTTACTCAGAGGCCCTAAGCAATCCAGCCTACACCATTTTCCCTCAGAAGGTCGCAGCTGATGGGGACTACGACTACCACCACGGCGGCACCATGTACTTCGGCTGGACACCAGTCAACTCTAACCCCGGCGCTCCAAACGAAACCGTGCTGGTTGCAAATTATACCATGATTGGCGCCTTTGCTATAACGGGTACAAGTGCTCTGGGCACACCGGAAGCGGAGCGCTTGGTGGAACCACACTGTGCTGCCGTCAACACTCCCCCATACTATAATCCTTTGCCCGTGACCCAGAAACCCGGGCCTGTTCCCACAGCTTGGAAGATGAACACCACAATTGCACCCATCGGCCCTTCGTTTGTAGATATGCGGGGCGTGGTGGTGAATCCGGGGAAGAGGCAGATGTGGGTGAGCTTTATGTCGGCCTTTGGCAAGGACATGAGTGCTTCTGCCGTGGTGGCGAGGCTTCGCTTGTCCTTGAGGCTCAAGCGCAAGTGGCGGCCGTTTCAAGTGTTTCTGGAGCGGTTCAAAGTGGTGGGGGTGGGCGGAGGGAACAGTCTCATTCAACCCACGATCGCTCTCAACAGGTGGGAGAGAGGGGGGACGGAAGGGGCGGATGGGAAAGAGGGGAGAGAGGGATCTGATAAAGCAGGGAAAGAGGAGAGGAGAGGAGAATGTTACCCTTACCGTGCCCTTACGGTGCCCTTACGGTGCCCTTACCGTGCCCTTACCGTGCCCTTACGGTGCCCTTACCGTCCTCTTTCCCTCCACACGCTCTCTTTTTGGCCAAACCGACACACACACACACTCTCTCTCTCTCTCCCTTCACTCCATTCCCCAGCCAAGGCAAGGGCATCATAGCAGCGTCACTAGCAGGGCGTTCCTTCTACCCCTCAGCTGCCTATGCCACTCTCAACGCCAATGTGGATGTCGGCCGCGTGGTCGTTACCGGCCCGGGGAAAGCGCCTCTCGACGACTTCACTGGTAAGTCCTCAGCCCTCGGGTGCTTGGCCCTCGGGTGCTTGGCCCTCGGGTGCTTGGCCCTCTGCTTGGGCCTCTGCTTGTTGTTTTTCTAGTGGACATGACAATACTGTCTTCCTGAGGAACGCCCTTTTGACGACTTTACTGGTGAGTCCTCTTACGCTGCTTGCTGGTTTCTTAGCGTCAAAGTAATCGCCGACGTTGGGCAGGTGGGCTGCGGAGGCCTTACTTCCATTAATAGCAGTTTTTTACGTCTAAGGAGAATCCTTGCCAGCCCACCGAAAGCTCCTTTTGATTACTACTCGTGTAGGGTACTCGTGGCAGCGACTTTACAGTCTATTGAATTGCCACCTTACCCCAGTCTCCTCTTGTAGGGTATATGTGACAGGGACTTTACAGTCATGAAGAATTGCAACTGGTAAGCCACCGCCACATGTGTCACACCCACACCCTCCCATCTCTCGCTCTCCCCCCCGCAGGGTACCGCGGTGCAACGGAGATGCGGTATGGGGACTACATGACTGCGATGGTGGACGAGGAGGGGAGGGCACTTTTGATGCGACTCACGAGTCTTTCCCACCCCTTTCTCCCCTCAAGGGTACCGTGGTGCAACGGAGATGCGATATGGTGACTACATGACGGCAACGATGGACGAGGAGGGCAACGCGTGGGCGGCAGTGCAGTATGTGGCGGGGCAGCCGCGAACAAACTACAGCAACTGGGCTACCTTTGTGTTCAAAGTCGACCTGCAGGGGGGGGAGGGGGGGGGGGAATGGGGATGGGGCGAACGGGGACGGAGGGAATGGGGACAGCGGGGGAAATGGGGATAACGGGGGGAGTGGTGATAGCGGGGGGAATGGGGACAATGGAGGAAATGGGGATCACGAGGGGAAGTAGGAAAACGGGAGAAATGGAGAGGTTGGGGGGAATGGGATACAGGGGGGACGGGTATAGCGGGGGGGATGGGGATAATGTGGGTGGAATAAGAGGGGGGGGGGGGGGGGGGGGGGTTGAGGAAGTGCGGGGAAGAGGAGAGTGGGAGAAAGGGGAATAAGGGCGTGTTCCTACGGCCCCTTATCAGGCGACCTCCTGTCAGAATTGTGCGGTTCATCGCGTTTCAGTGCGATCTAATGTTATTACGTGTGTTTCAGTGCGGTGCGACACGAATCTGACAAGAGGTTTGCCTGATAAGAGGTCGTTGGAACACGCCCTAAGGGCTAGAAGGGGATGATGTCTGTAGAGAAATTAGGAGAAGGGGGTGATATCAGCCCTACACGTGCAGGAGTGTTTCTCTCACACGCATGTGTGTGTTGCTCCCTCAGCAACACAAACTGTCTCCCTGCAACTCATGCGGGCAGAAACATCGCAGCGCATGACATCACATGCCATCTCACAAACATGTGTTGCTCCCTCAGCAGCACGGATGGCCCCCCTGCAATTCCTGCTAATCAGCCCACATGCCGGCGTGTGTTGCTCCCTCAGCAACACAGGATATCTCCCTGCAACTCATGCATGGCATCTCATCACTTGCCATGTCAAACATGTTCAAATGCTGTTTCATTTTCATATCTGCATCACTTCTTATCATTCAACGATGCCGTACCTGTTTGCTGCTCGTTGGTTTCGCTTTTGAGAATTCGCATGCAATCTACGGTATGCCGTACAAGTGGGAGAACTTCTCAGCTACGCCAATTAAAACCTACACCAACACTGAAGTGTTTGTACACGTATTGATGTTTCATGTGTGCTTTTGAGTCGACTCAAAAGCAAACTGCTACGCCAATTAAAACCTAGACGAGCACTGAAGTGTTTGTGCACGTATTCATGTTTCGTGCGATGCCTCATTTGTGCGCGGCCTCAGTAGTGGGCTAACAAGAGGTGTTTTAAAACGTGTACAACGCTGTTCTTACTATCTGATATAAGGTTGGCCTGATAAGGGGCCGTAGGAACACACCCTCAGACCCAATGTGAGAGCCTGGAACATAAGATATGGAATCAAGGCAGCCATATTGTCACCATCAGCATTGCACCAGTCACAGTTGGATCTTAAAAAGCAACGTGTCTTCCAGGTGCTCCCTCCCAGAAAATACTCCTTCTGAGGCACCTAAAAAAAGGGTGTATGCCGTACCCCAGTTGCTCCGATTGGTTCTCCTCGGTCCTCACGGGATATACAGCGCGGTACTGTAATCCAAATCAGAGGAACCTTGGCAATACAAGCACCCCAGTTGCTCTAGTGGGTCCTGTCCTGGGCCTCCCTTGCACGTACTGCACTGCTGCCCATGCGTTGCCCTCTTCGGCCCTCTGTCACAGTTGCGCCAGTGGGTCCTGTCCTTCCTGGGCCTCCCTACCACATACCGCACTGCTGCTGCCCATGCGTTGCCCTCTTCAGTCCTCTGTCACAGTTGCGCCAGTGGGTCCTGTCCTTCCTGGGCCTCCCTACCACATACCGCACTGCTGCTGCCCATGCGTTGCCCTCTTCGGCCCTCTGTCACAGTTGCGCCAGTGGGTCCTGTCCTTCCTGGGCCTCCCTACCACATACCGCACTGCTGCTGCCCATGCGTTGCCCTCTTCAGTCCTCTGTCACAGCTGCACAATGAAGATATAGGTAGCCCAGTTGCTCCAGTGGGTCCTGTCCTGGGCCTCCCCAGCACATACTGTACCGCACAGCACCGCTGATGGTACCATCCAAACCCGCCAAGAACGTTTACAGCTGCACCTTGAAGATATAAGTAGCCCAGTTGGTCCAGTGGGTTCTTGGTCTCCCCGGCACATACTGCACAGCGCCCCATGCGTTGCCCTCCTCGTCTATGCCTGCTGTCATGTAGTCGCCGTACCGCACTGCCGCAGCAAACCCCATGTACCCTGGGAGAGGGGAGGGCAGGTGGGGAGTGGGGGAAAGGCGGGATTAAGGGCATTGGGGCGGGGAGGGGAAAACGAAAAGGGGGGAATTGGAGGTCTGCATGCATTGCCCTGCCTCGTCCACGCCTGCTTCCATGTACCCTGTGGGAGAGCGGAGGGGAGGGGGAGGGTGGGGGAGGAGGAAAGGGGGGGTGGACGGTTGAAGGAGACGGGCCCCTTGCGTTGCCCTCCTCGTCCATTCCTGCTGTCACGTAGTCACCGTATCTCACTGCTTCAGCGAACCCCATGTACCCTGGGGAATCATGTTTCTCAGACTCGCTTCAGCGAAGCCAGCAGCAGCAAGCACCACACATTATCCACACACAGCAACACCTGGCACAGCATGGGCAGCAAGGGGGGAAAATCCTTTCTAACCCATCCTGATCAGGCCGCATGTCTCACTCACCCGAGTAATCATCCAGCGCTGCCCCGCCAGCTGCAGCAACCACCACGTCTCCCGCCTCTCCCTCCGTGTTCACAGTCGCATCCGCAGCAGAGGGGTAATACGACGGCCCTGCCAGCAATACCGCCATGATCCCATTTTAGAGTCGACTCAAAAGTTCACTCACCCGAGTAATCATCCAGCGCTGCCCCGCCAGCTGCAGCAACCACCACGTCTCCCGCCTCTCCCTCCGTGTTCACAGTCGCATCCGCAGCAGAGGGGTAATACGACGGCCCTGCCAGCGATACCGCCATGATCCCATTTTAGAGTCGACTCAAAAGTTCACTCACCCGAGTAATCATCCAGCGCTGCCCCGCCAGCTGCAGCAACCACCACGTCCCCCGCCGCTGTCTCTCCATTCACAGTCGCATACGCAGCAGAGGGGTAATACGACGGCCCTGCCAGCGATACCGCCATGATCCCATTTTAGAGTCGACTCAAAAGTTCACTCACCCGAGTAATCATCCAGCGCTGCCCCGCCAGCTGCAGCAACCACCACGTCCCCCGCCGCTGTCTCTCCATTCACAGTCGCATACGCAGCAGAGGGGTAATACGACGGCCCTGCCAGCGATACCGCCATGATCCCATTTTAGAGTCGACTCAAAAGTTCACTCACCCGAGTAATCATCCAGCGCTGCCCCGCCAGCTGCAGCAACCACCACGTCCCCCGCCGCTGTCTCTCCATTCACAGTCGCATACGCAGCAGAGGGGTAATACGACGGCCCTGCCAGCGATACCGCCATGATCCCATTTTAGAGTCGACTCAAAAGTTCACTCACCCGAGTAATCATCCAGCGCTGCCCCGCCAGCTGCAGCAACCACCACGTCCCCCGCCGCTGTCTCTCCATTCACAGTCGCATCCGCAGCAGAGGGGTAATACGACGGCCCTGCCAGCGATACCGCCATGATCCCATTTTAGAGTCGACTCAAAAGTTCACTCACCCGAGTAATCATCCAGCGCTGCCCCGCCAGCTGCAGCAACCACCACGTCCCCCGCCGCTGTCTCTCCATTCACAGTCGCATACGCAGCAGAGGGGTAATACGACGGCCCTGCCAGCGATACCGCCATGATCCCATTTTAGAGTCGACTCAAAAGTTCACTCACCCGAGTAATCATCCAGCGCTGCCCCGCCAGCTGCAGCAACCACCACGTCCCCCGCCGCTGTCTCTCCATTCACAGTCGCATACGCAGCAGAGGGGTAATACGACGGCCCTGCCAGCGATACCGCCATGATCCCATTTTAGAGTCGACTCAAAAGTTCACTCACCCGAGTAATCATCCAGCGCTGCCCCGCCAGCTGCAGCAACCACCACGTCCCCCGCCGCTGTCTCTCCATTCACAGTCGCATACGCAGCAGAGGGGTAATACGACGGCCCTGCCAGCGATACCGCCATGATCCCATTTTAGAGTCGACTCAAAAGTTCACTCACCCGAGTAATCATCCAGCGCTGCCCCGCCAGCTGCAGCAACCACCACGTCCCCCGCCGCTGTCTCTCCATTCACAGTCGCATACGCAGCAGAGGGGTAATACGACGGCCCTGCCAGCGATACCGCCATGATCCCATTTTAGAGTCGACTCAAAAGTTCACTCACCCGAGTAATCATCCAGCGCTGCCCCGCCAGCTGCAGCAACCACCACGTCCCCCGCCGCTGTCTCTCCATTCACAGTCGCATACGCAGCAGAGGGGTAATACGACGGCCCTGCCAGCGATACCGCCATGATCCCATTTTAGAGTCGACTCAAAAGTTCACTCACCCGAGTAATCATCCAGCGCTGCCCCGCCAGCTGCAGCAACCACCACGTCCCCCGCCGCTGTCTCTCCATTCACAGTCGCATCCGCAGCAGAGGGGTAATACGACGGCCCTGCCAGCGATACCGCCATGATCCCATTTTAGAGTCGACTCAAAAGTTCACTCACCCGAGTAATCATCCAGCGCTGCCCCGCCAGCTGCAGCAACCACCACGTCCCCCGCCGCTGTCTCTCCATTCACAGTCGCATACGCAGCAGAGGGGTAATACGACGGCCCTGCCAGCGATACCGCCATGATCCCATTTTAGAGTCGACTCAAAAGTTCACTCACCCGAGTAATCATCCAGCGCTGCCCCGCCAGCTGCAGCAACCACCACGTCCCCCGCCGCTGTCTCTCCATTCACAGTCGCATACGCAGCAGAGGGGTAATACGACGGCCCTGCCAGCGATACCGCCATGATCCCATTTTAGAGTCGACTCAAAAGTTCACTCACCCGAGTAATCATCCAGCGCTGCCCCGCCAGCTGCAGCAACCACCACGTCCCCCGCCGCTGTCTCTCCATTCACAGTCGCATACGCAGCAGAGGGGTAATACGACGGCCCTGCCAGCGATACCGCCATGATCCCATTTTAGAGTCGACTCAAAAGTTCACTCACCCGAGTAATCATCCAGCGCTGCCCCGCCAGCTGCAGCAACCACCACGTCCCCCGCCGCTGTCTCTCCATTCACAGTCGCATACGCAGCAGAGGGGTAATACGACGGCCCTGCCAGCGATACCGCCATGATCCCATTTTAGAGTCGACTCAAAAGTTCACTCACCCGAGTAATCATCCAGCGCTGCCCCGCCAGCTGCAGCAACCACCACGTCCCCCGCCGCTGTCTCTCCATTCACAGTCGCATACGCAGCAGAGGGGTAATACGACGGCCCTGCCAGCGATACCGCCATGATCCCATTTTAGAGTCGACTCAAAAGTTCACTCACCCGAGTAAACATCCAGCGCTGCCCCGCCAGCTGCAGCAACCACCACGTCCCCCGCCGCTGTCTCTCCATTCACAGTCGCATACGCAGCAGAGGGGTAATACGACGGCCCTGCCAGCGATACCGCCATGATCCCATTTTAGAGTCGACTCAAAAGTTCACTCACCCGAGTAATCATCCAGCGCTGCCCCGCCAGCTGCAGCAACCACCACGTCCCCCGCCGCTGTCTCTCCATTCACAGTCGCATACGCAGCAGAGGGGTAATACGACGGCCCTGCCAGCGATACCGCCATGATCCCATTTTAGAGTCGACTCAAAAGTTCACTCACCCGAGTAATCATCCAGCGCTGCCCCGCCAGCTGCAGCAACCACCACGTCCCCCGCCGCTGTCTCTCCATTCACAGTCGCATACGCAGCAGAGGGGTAATACGACGGCCCTGCCAGCGATACCGCCATGATCCCATTTTAGAGTCGACTCAAAAGTTCACTCACCCGAGTAATCATCCAGCGCTGCCCCGCCAGCTGCAGCAACCACCACGTCCCCCGCCGCTGTCTCTCCATTCACAGTCGCATACGCAGCAGAGGGGTAATACGACGGCCCTGCCAGCGATACCGCCATGATCCCATTTTAGAGTCGACTCAAAAGTTCACTCACCCGAGTAATCATCCAGCGCTGCCCCGCCTGCTGCAGCAACCACCACGTCCCCCGCCGCTGTCTCTCCATTCACAGTCGCATCCGCAGCAGAGGGGTAATACGACGGCCCTGCCAGCGATACCGCCATGATCCCATTTTAGAGTCGACTCAAAAGTTCACTCACCCGAGTAATCATCCAGTGCTGCCCCGCCAGCTGCAGCAACCACCACGTCCCCCGCCGCTGTCTCTCCATTCACAGTCGCATACGCAGCAGAGGGGTAATACGACGGCCCTGCCAGCGATACCGCCATGATCCCATTTTAGAGTCGACTCAAAAGTCCACTCACCCGAGTAATCATCCAGCGCTGCCCCGCCAGCTGCAGCAACCACCACGTCCCCCGCCGCTGTCTCTCCATTCACAGTCGCATACGCAGCAGAGGGGTAATACGACGGCCCTGCCAGCGATACCGCCATGATCCCATTTTAGAGTCGACTCAAAAGTCCACTCACCCGAGTAATCATCCAGCGCTGCCCCGCCAGCTGCAGCAACCACCACGTCCCCCGCCGCTGTCTCTCCATTCACAGTCGCATACGCAGCAGAGGGGTAATACGACGGCCCTGCCAGCGATACCGCCATGATCCCATTTTAGAGTCGACTCAAAAGTTCACTCACCCGAGTAATCATCCAGCGCTGCCCCGCCAGCTGCAGCAACCACCACGTCCCCCGCCGCTGTCTCTCCATTCACAGTCGCATCCGCAGCAGAGGGGTAATACGACGGCCCTGCCAGCGATACCGCCATGATCCCATTTTAGAGTCGACTCAAAAGTTCACTCACCCGAGTAATCATCCAGCGCTGCCCCGCCAGCTGCAGCAACCACCACGTCCCCCGCCGCTGTCTCTCCATTCACAGTCGCATACGCAGCAGAGGGGTAATACGACGGCCCTGCCAGCGATACCGCCATGATCCCATTTTAGAGTCGACTCAAAAGTTCACTCACCCGAGTAATCATCCAGCGCTGCCCCGCCAGCTGCAGCAACCACCACGTCCCCCGCCGCTGTCTCTCCATTCACAGTCGCATACGCAGCAGAGGGGTAATACGACGGCCCTGCCAGCGATACCGCCATGATCCCATTTTAGAGTCGACTCAAAAGTTCACTCACCCGAGTAATCATCCAGCGCTGCCCCGCCAGCTGCAGCAACCACCACGTCCCCCGCCGCTGTCTCTCCATTCACAGTCGCATACGCAGCAGAGGGGTAATACGACGGCCCTGCCAGCGATACCGCCATGATCCCATTTTAGAGTCGACTCAAAAGTTCACTCACCCGAGTAATCATCCAGCGCTGCCCCGCCAGCTGCAGCAACCACCACGTCCCCCGCCGCTGTCTCTCCATTCACAGTCGCATACGCAGCAGAGGGGTAATACGACGGCCCTGCCAGCGATACCGCCATGATCCCATTTTAGAGTCGACTCAAAAGTTCACTCACCCGAGTAATCATCCAGCGCTGCCCCGCCAGCTGCAGCAACCACCACGTCCCCCGCCGCTGTCTCTCCATTCACAGTCGCATACGCAGCAGAGGGGTAATACGACGGCCCTGCCAGCGATACCGCCATGATCCCATTTTAGAGTCGACTCAAAAGTTCACTCACCCGAGTAATCATCCAGCGCTGCCCCGCCAGCTGCAGCAACCACCACGTCCCCCGCCGCTGTCTCTCCATTCACAGTCGCATCCGCAGCAGAGGGGTAATACGACGGCCCTGCCAGCGATACCGCCATGATCCCATTTTAGAGTCGACTCAAAAGTTCACTCACCCGAGTAATCATCCAGCGCTGCCCCGCCAGCTGCAGCAACCACCACGTCCCCCGCCGCTGTCTCTCCATTCACAGTCGCATACGCAGCAGAGGGGTAATACGACGGCCCTGCCAGCGATACCGCCATGATCCCATTTTAGAGTCGACTCAAAAGTTCACTCACCCGAGTAATCATCCAGCGCTGCCCCGCCAGCTGCAGCAACCACCACGTCCCCCGCCGCTGTCTCTCCATTCACAGTCGCATACGCAGCAGAGGGGTAATACGACGGCCCTGCCAGCGATACCGCCATGATCCCATTTTAGAGTCGACTCAAAAGTTCACTCACCCGAGTAATCATCCAGCGCTGCCCCGCCAGCTGCAGCAACCACCACGTCCCCCGCCGCTGTCTCTCCATTCACAGTCGCATACGCAGCAGAGGGGTAATACGACGGCCCTGCCAGCGATACCGCCATGATCCCATTTTAGAGTCGACTCAAAAGTTCACTCACCCGAGTAATCATCCAGCGCTGCCCCGCCAGCTGCAGCAACCACCACGTCCCCCGCCGCTGTCTCTCCATTCACAGTCGCATACGCAGCAGAGGGGTAATACGACGGCCCTGCCAGCGATACCGCCATGATCCCATTTTAGAGTCGACTCAAAAGTTCACTCACCCGAGTAATCATCCAGCGCTGCCCCGCCAGCTGCAGCAACCACCACGTCCCCCGCCGCTGTCTCTCCATTCACAGTCGCATACGCAGCAGAGGGGTAATACGACGGCCCTGCCAGCGATACCGCCATGATCCCATTTTAGAGTCGACTCAAAAGTTCACTCACCCGAGTAAACATCCAGCGCTGCCCCGCCAGCTGCAGCAACCACCACGTCCCCCGCCGCTGTCTCTCCATTCACAGTCGCATACGCAGCAGAGGGGTAATACGACGGCCCTGCCAGCGATACCGCCATGATCCCATTTTAGAGTCGACTCAAAAGTTCACTCACCCGAGTAATCATCCAGCGCTGCCCCGCCAGCTGCAGCAACCACCACGTCCCCCGCCGCTGTCTCTCCATTCACAGTCGCATACGCAGCAGAGGGGTAATACGACGGCCCTGCCAGCGATACCGCCATGATCCCATTTTAGAGTCGACTCAAAAGTTCACTCACCCGAGTAATCATCCAGCGCTGCCCCGCCAGCTGCAGCAACCACCACGTCCCCCGCCGCTGTCTCTCCATTCACAGTCGCATACGCAGCAGAGGGGTAATACGACGGCCCTGCCAGCGATACCGCCATGATCCCATTTTAGAGTCGACTCAAAAGTTCACTCACCCGAGTAATCATCCAGCGCTGCCCCGCCAGCTGCAGCAACCACCACGTCCCCCGCCGCTGTCTCTCCATTCACAGTCGCATACGCAGCAGAGGGGTAATACGACGGCCCTGCCAGCGATACCGCCATGATCCCATTTTAGAGTCGACTCAAAAGTTCACTCACCCGAGTAATCATCCAGCGCTGCCCCGCCAGCTGCAGCAACCACCACGTCCCCCGCCGCTGTCTCTCCATTCACAGTCGCATCCGCAGCAGAGGGGTAATACGACGGCCCTGCCAGCGATACCGCCATGATCCCATTTTAGAGTCGACTCAAAAGTTCACTCACCCGAGTAATCATCCAGTGCTGCCCCGCCAGCTGCAGCAACCACCACGTCCCCCGCCGCTGTCTCTCCATTCACAGTCGCATACGCAGCAGAGGGGTAATACGACGGCCCTGCCAGCGATACCGCCATGATCCCATTTTAGAGTCGACTCAAAAGTCCACTCACCCGAGTAATCATCCAGCGCTGCCCCGCCAGCTGCAGCAACCACCACGTCCCCCGCCGCTGTCTCTCCATTCACAGTCGCATACGCAGCAGAGGGGTAATACGACGGCCCTGCCAGCGATACCGCCATGATCCCATTTTAGAGTCGACTCAAAAGTCCACTCACCCGAGTAATCATCCAGCGCTGCCCCGCCAGCTGCAGCAACCACCACGTCCCCCGCCGCTGTCTCTCCATTCACAGTCGCATACGCAGCAGAGGGGTAATACGACGGCCCTGCCAGCGATACCGCCATGATCCCATTTTAGAGTCGACTCAAAAGTTCACTCACCCGAGTAATCATCCAGCGCTGCCCCGCCAGCTGCAGCAACCACCACGTCCCCCGCCGCTGTCTCTCCATTCACAGTCGCATACGCAGCAGAGGGGTAATACGACGGCCCTGCCAGCGATACCGCCATGATCCCATTTTAGAGTCGACTCAAAAGTTCACTCACCCGAGTAATCATCCAGCGCTGCCCCGCCAGCTGCAGCAACCACCACGTCCCCCGCCGCTGTCTCTCCATTCACAGTCGCATACGCAGCAGAGGGGTAATACGACGGCCCTGCCAGCGATACCGCCATGATCCCATTTTAGAGTCGACTCAAAAGTTCACTCACCCGAGTAATCATCCAGCGCTGCCCCGCCAGCTGCAGCAACCACCACGTCCCCCGCCGCTGTCTCTCCATTCACAGTCGCATACGCAGCAGAGGGGTAATACGACGGCCCTGCCAGCGATACCGCCATGATCCCATTTTAGAGTCGACTCAAAAGTTCACTCACCCGAGTAATCATCCAGCGCTGCCCCGCCAGCTGCAGCAACCACCACGTCCCCCGCCGCTGTCTCTCCATTCACAGTCGCATACGCAGCAGAGGGGTAATACGACGGCCCTGCCAGCGATACCGCCATGATCCCATTTTAGAGTCGACTCAAAAGTTCACTCACCCGAGTAATCATCCAGCGCTGCCCCGCCAGCTGCAGCAACCACCACGTCCCCCGCCGCTGTCTCTCCATTCACAGTCGCATACGCAGCAGAGGGGTAATACGACGGCCCTGCCAGCGATACCGCCATGATCCCATTTTAGAGTCGACTCAAAAGTTCACTCACCCGAGTAATCATCCAGCGCTGCCCCGCCAGCTGCAGCAACCACCACGTCCCCCGCCGCTGTCTCTCCATTCACAGTCGCATACGCAGCAGAGGGGTAATACGACGGCCCTGCCAGCGATACCGCCATGATCCCATTTTAGAGTCGACTCAAAAGTTCACTCACCCGAGTAATCATCCAGCGCTGCCCCGCCAGCTGCAGCAACCACCACGTCCCCCGCCGCTGTCTCTCCATTCACAGTCGCATACGCAGCAGAGGGGTAATACGACGGCCCTGCCAGCGATACCGCCATGATCCCATTTTAGAGTCGACTCAAAAGTTCACTCACCCGAGTAATCATCCAGCGCTGCCCCGCCAGCTGCAGCAACCACCACGTCCCCCGCCGCTGTCTCTCCATTCACAGTCGCATCCGCAGCAGAGGGGTAATACGACGGCCCTGCCAGCGATACCGCCATGATCCCATTTTAGAGTCGACTCAAAAGTTCACTCACCCGAGTAATCATCCAGCGCTGCCCCGCCAGCTGCAGCAACCACCACGTCCCCCGCCGCTGTCTCTCCATTCACAGTCGCATACGCAGCAGAGGGGTAATACGACGGCCCTGCCAGCGATACCGCCATGATCCCATTTTAGAGTCGACTCAAAAGTCCACTCACCCGAGTAATCATCCAGCGCTGCCCCGCCAGCTGCAGCAACCACCACGTCCCCCGCCGCTGTCTCTCCATTCACAGTCGCATACGCAGCAGAGGGGTAATACGACGGCCCTGCCAGCGATACCGCCATGATCCCATTTTAGAGTCGACTCAAAAGTTCACTCACCCGAGTAATCATCCAGCGCTGCCCCGCCAGCTGCAGCAACCACCACGTCCCCCGCCGCTGTCTCTCCATTCACAGTCGCATACGCAGCAGAGGGGTAATACGACGGCCCTGCCAGCGATACCGCCATGATCCCATTTTAGAGTCGACTCAAAAGTTCACTCACCCGAGTAATCATCCAGCGCTGCCCCGCCAGCTGCAGCAACCACCACGTCCCCCGCCGCTGTCTCTCCATTCACAGTCGCATACGCAGCAGAGGGGTAATACGACGGCCCTGCCAGCGATACCGCCATGATCCCATTTTAGAGTCGACTCAAAAGTTCACTCACCCGAGTAATCATCCAGCGCTGCCCCGCCAGCTGCAGCAACCACCACGTCCCCCGCCGCTGTCTCTCCATTCACAGTCGCATACGCAGCAGAGGGGTAATACGACGGCCCTGCCAGCGATACCGCCATGATCCCATTTTAGAGTCGACTCAAAAGTTCACTCACCCGAGTAATCATCCAGCGCTGCCCCGCCAGCTGCAGCAACCACCACGTCCCCCGCCGCTGTCTCTCCATTCACAGTCGCATACGCAGCAGAGGGGTAATACGACGGCCCTGCCAGCGATACCGCCATGATCCCATTTTAGAGTCGACTCAAAAGTTCACTCACCCGAGTAATCATCCAGCGCTGCCCCGCCAGCTGCAGCAACCACCACGTCCCCCGCCGCTGTCTCTCCATTCACAGTCGCATACGCAGCAGAGGGGTAATACGACGGCCCTGCCAGCGATACCGCCATGATCCCATTTTAGAGTCGACTCAAAAGTTCACTCACCCGAGTAATCATCCAGCGCTGCCCCGCCAGCTGCAGCAACCACCACGTCCCCCGCCGCTGTCTCTCCATTCACAGTCGCATACGCAGCAGAGGGGTAATACGACGGCCCTGCCAGCGATACCGCCATGATCCCATTTTAGAGTCGACTCAAAAGTTCACTCACCCGAGTAATCATCCAGCGCTGCCCCGCCAGCTGCAGCAACCACCACGTCCCCCGCCGCTGTCTCTCCATTCACAGTCGCATACGCAGCAGAGGGGTAATACGACGGCCCTGCCAGCGATACCGCCATGATCCCATTTTAGAGTCGACTCAAAAGTTCACTCACCCGAGTAATCATCCAGCGCTGCCCCGCCAGCTGCAGCAACCACCACGTCCCCCGCCGCTGTCTCTCCATTCACAGTCGCATACGCAGCAGAGGGGTAATACGACGGCCCTGCCAGCGATACCGCCATGATCCCATTTTAGAGTCGACTCAAAAGTTCACTCACCCGAGTAATCATCCAGCGCTGCCCCGCCAGCTGCAGCAACCACCACGTCCCCCGCCGCTGTCTCTCCATTCACAGTCGCATACGCAGCAGAGGGGTAATACGACGGCCCTGCCAGCGATACCGCCATGATCCCATTTTAGAGTCGACTCAAAAGTTCACTCACCCGAGTAATCATCCAGCGCTGCCCCGCCAGCTGCAGCAACCACCACGTCCCCCGCCGCTGTCTCTCCATTCACAGTCGCATACGCAGCAGAGGGGTAATACGACGGCCCTGCCAGCGATACCGCCATGATCCCATTTTAGAGTCGACTCAAAAGTTCACTCACCCGAGTAATCATCCAGCGCTGCCCCGCCAGCTGCAGCAACCACCACGTCCCCCGCCGCTGTCTCTCCATTCACAGTCGCATCCGCAGCAGAGGGGTAATACGACGGCCCTGCCAGCGATACCGCCATGATCCCATTTTAGAGTCGACTCAAAAGTTCACTCACCCGAGTAATCATCCAGCGCTGCCCCGCCAGCTGCAGCAACCACCACGTCCCCCGCCGCTGTCTCTCCATTCACAGTCGCATACGCAGCAGAGGGGTAATACGACGGCCCTGCCAGCGATACCGCCATGATCCCATTTTAGAGTCGACTCAAAAGTTCACTCACCCGAGTAATCATCCAGCGCTGCCCCCGCCAGCTGCAGCAACCACCACGTCCCCCGCCGCTGTCTCTCCATTCACAGTCGCATACGCAGCAGAGGGGTAATACGACGGCCCTGCCAGCGATACCGCCATGATCCCATTTTAGAGTCGACTCAAAAGTTCACTCACCCGAGTAATCATCCAGCGCTGCCCCGCCAGCTGCAGCAACCACCACGTCCCCCGCCGCTGTCTCTCCATTCACAGTCGCATACGCAGCAGAGGGGTAATACGACGGCCCTGCCAGCGATACCGCCATGATCCCATTTTAGAGTCGACTCAAAAGTTCACTCACCCGAGTAATCATCCAGCGCTGCCCCGCCAGCTGCAGCAACCACCACGTCCCCCGCCGCTGTCTCTCCATTCACAGTCGCATACGCAGCAGAGGGGTAATACGACGGCCCTGCCAGCGATACCGCCATGATCCCATTTTAGAGTCGACTCAAAAGTTCACTCACCCGAGTAATCATCCAGCGCTGCCCCGCCAGCTGCAGCAACCACCACGTCCCCCGCCGCTGTCTCTCCATTCACAGTCGCATACGCAGCAGAGGGGTAATACGACGGCCCTGCCAGCGATACCGCCATGATCCCATTTTAGAGTCGACTCAAAAGTTCACTCACCCGAGTAATCATCCAGCGCTGCCCCGCCAGCTGCAGCAACCACCACGTCCCCCGCCGCTGTCTCTCCATTCACAGTCGCATACGCAGCAGAGGGGTAATACGACGGCCCTGCCAGCGATACCGCCATGATCCCATTTTAGAGTCGACTCAAAAGTTCACTCACCCGAGTAATCATCCAGCGCTGCCCCGCCAGCTGCAGCAACCACCACGTCCCCCGCCGCTGTCTCTCCATTCACAGTCGCATACGCAGCAGAGGGGTAATACGACGGCCCTGCCAGCGATACCGCCATGATCCCATTTTAGAGTCGACTCAAAAGTTCACTCACCCGAGTAATCATCCAGCGCTGCCCCGCCAGCTGCAGCAACCACCACGTCCCCCGCCGCTGTCTCTCCATTCACAGTCGCATACGCAGCAGAGGGGTAATACGACGGCCCTGCCAGCGATACCGCCATGATCCCATTTTAGAGTCGACTCAAAAGTTCACTCACCCGAGTAATCATCCAGCGCTGCCCCCGCCAGCTGCAGCAACCACCACGTCCCCCGCCGCTGTCTCTCCATTCACAGTCGCATACGCAGCAGAGGGGTAATACGACGGCCCTGCCAGCGATACCGCCATGATCCCATTTTAGAGTCGACTCAAAAGTTCACTCACCCGAGTAATCATCCAGCGCTGCCCCGCCAGCTGCAGCAACCACCACGTCCCCCGCCGCTGTCTCTCCATTCACAGTCGCATACGCAGCAGAGGGGTAATACGACGGCCCTGCCAGCGATACCGCCATGATCCCATTTTAGAGTCGACTCAAAAGTTCACTCACCCGAGTAATCATCCAGCGCTGCCCCGCCAGCTGCAGCAACCACCACGTCCCCCGCCGCTGTCTCTCCATTCACAGTCGCATACGCAGCAGAGGGGTAATACGACGGCCCTGCCAGCGATACCGCCATGATCCCATTTTAGAGTCGACTCAAAAGTTCACTCACCCGAGTAATCATCCAGCGCTGCCCCGCCAGCTGCAGCAACCACCACGTCCCCCGCCGCTGTCTCTCCATTCACAGTCGCATACGCAGCAGAGGGGTAATACGACGGCCCTGCCAGCGATACCGCCATGATCCCATTTTAGAGTCGACTCAAAAGTTCACTCACCCGAGTAATCATCCAGCGCTGCCCCGCCAGCTGCAGCAACCACCACGTCCCCCGCCGCTGTCTCTCCATTCACAGTCGCATACGCAGCAGAGGGGTAATACGACGGCCCTGCCAGCGATACCGCCATGATCCCATTTTAGAGTCGACTCAAAAGTTCACTCACCCGAGTAATCATCCAGCGCTGCCCCGCCAGCTGCAGCAACCACCACGTCCCCCGCCGCTGTCTCTCCATTCACAGTCGCATACGCAGCAGAGGGGTAATACGACGGCCCTGCCAGCGATACCGCCATGATCCCATTTTAGAGTCGACTCAAAAGTTCACTCACCCGAGTAATCATCCAGCGCTGCCCCGCCAGCTGCAGCAACCACCACGTCCCCCGCCGCTGTCTCTCCATTCACAGTCGCATACGCAGCAGAGGGGTAATACGACGGCCCTGCCAGCGATACCGCCATGATCCCATTTTAGAGTCGACTCAAAAGTTCACTCACCCGAGTAATCATCCAGCGCTGCCCCGCCAGCTGCAGCAACCACCACGTCCCCCGCCGCTGTCTCTCCATTCACAGTCGCATACGCAGCAGAGGGGTAATACGACGGCCCTGCCAGCGATACCGCCATGATCCCATTTTAGAGTCGACTCAAAAGTTCACTCACCCGAGTAATCATCCAGCGCTGCCCCGCCAGCTGCAGCAACCACCACGTCCCCCGCCGCTGTCTCTCCATTCACAGTCGCATACGCAGCAGAGGGGTAATACGACGGCCCTGCCAGCGATACCGCCATGATCCCATTTTAGAGTCGACTCAAAAGTTCACTCACCCGAGTAATCATCCAGCGCTGCCCCGCCAGCTGCAGCAACCACCACGTCCCCCGCCGCTGTCTCTCCATTCACAGTCGCATACGCAGCAGAGGGGTAATACGACGGCCCTGCCAGCGATACCGCCATGATCCCATTTTAGAGTCGACTCAAAAGTTCACTCACCCGAGTAATCATCCAGCGCTGCCCCGCCAGCTGCAGCAACCACCACGTCCCCCGCCGCTGTCTCTCCATTCACAGTCGCATACGCAGCAGAGGGGTAATACGACGGCCCTGCCAGCGATACCGCCATGATCCCATTTTAGAGTCGACTCAAAAGTTCACTCACCCGAGTAATCATCCAGCGCTGCCCCGCCAGCTGCAGCAACCACCACGTCCCCCGCCGCTGTCTCTCCATTCACAGTCGCATACGCAGCAGAGGGGTAATACGACGGCCCTGCCAGCGATACCGCCATGATCCCATTTTAGAGTCGACTCAAAAGTTCACTCACCCGAGTAATCATCCAGCGCTGCCCCGCCAGCTGCAGCAACCACCACGTCCCCCGCCGCTGTCTCTCCATTCACAGTCGCATACGCAGCAGAGGGGTAATACGACGGCCCTGCCAGCGATACCGCCATGATCCCATTTTAGAGTCGACTCAAAAGTTCACTCACCCGAGTAATCATCCAGCGCTGCCCCGCCAGCTGCAGCAACCACCACGTCCCCCGCCGCTGTCTCTCCATTCACAGTCGCATACGCAGCAGAGGGGTAATACGACGGCCCTGCCAGCGATACCGCCATGATCCCATTTTAGAGTCGACTCAAAAGTTCACTCACCCGAGTAATCATCCAGCGCTGCCCCGCCAGCTGCAGCAACCACCACGTCCCCCGCCGCTGTCTCTCCATTCACAGTCGCATACGCAGCAGAGGGGTAATACGACGGCCCTGCCAGCGATACCGCCATGATCCCATTTTAGAGTCGACTCAAAAGTTCACTCACCCGAGTAATCATCCAGCGCTGCCCCGCCAGCTGCAGCAACCACCACGTCCCCCGCCGCTGTCTCTCCATTCACAGTCGCATACGCAGCAGAGGGGTAATACGACGGCCCTGCCAGCGATACCGCCATGATCCCATTTTAGAGTCGACTCAAAAGTTCACTCACCCGAGTAATCATCCAGCGCTGCCCCGCCAGCTGCAGCAACCACCACGTCCCCCGCCGCTGTCTCTCCATTCACAGTCGCATACGCAGCAGAGGGGTAATACGACGGCCCTGCCAGCGATACCGCCATGATCCCATTTTAGAGTCGACTCAAAAGTTCACTCACCCGAGTAATCATCCAGCGCTGCCCCGCCAGCTGCAGCAACCACCACGTCCCCCGCCGCTGTCTCTCCATTCACAGTCGCATACGCAGCAGAGGGGTAATACGACGGCCCTGCCAGCGATACCGCCATGATCCCATTTTAGAGTCGACTCAAAAGTTCACTCACCCGAGTAATCATCCAGCGCTGCCCCGCCAGCTGCAGCAACCACCACGTCCCCCGCCGCTGTCTCTCCATTCACAGTCGCATACGCAGCAGAGGGGTAATACGACGGCCCTGCCAGCGATACCGCCATGATCCCATTTTAGAGTCGACTCAAAAGTTCACTCACCCGAGTAATCATCCAGCGCTGCCCCGCCAGCTGCAGCAACCACCACGTCCCCCGCCGCTGTCTCTCCATTCACAGTCGCATACGCAGCAGAGGGGTAATACGACGGCCCTGCCAGCGATACCGCCATGATCCCATTTTAGAGTCGACTCAAAAGTTCACTCACCCGAGTAATCATCCAGCGCTGCCCCGCCAGCTGCAGCAACCACCACGTCCCCCGCCGCTGTCTCTCCATTCACAGTCGCATACGCAGCAGAGGGGTAATACGACGGCCCTGCCAGCGATACCGCCATGATCCCATTTTAGAGTCGACTCAAAAGTTCACTCACCCGAGTAATCATCCAGCGCTGCCCCGCCAGCTGCAGCAACCACCACGTCCCCCGCCGCTGTCTCTCCATTCACAGTCGCATACGCAGCAGAGGGGTAATACGACGGCCCTGCCAGCGATACCGCCATGATCCCATTTTAGAGTCGACTCAAAAGTTCACTCACCCGAGTAATCATCCAGCGCTGCCCCGCCAGCTGCAGCAACCACCACGTCCCCCGCCGCTGTCTCTCCATTCACAGTCGCATACGCAGCAGAGGGGTAATACGACGGCCCTGCCAGCGATACCGCCATGATCCCATTTTAGAGTCGACTCAAAAGTTCACTCACCCGAGTAATCATCCAGCGCTGCCCCGCCAGCTGCAGCAACCACCACGTCCCCCGCCGCTGTCTCTCCATTCACAGTCGCATACGCAGCAGAGGGGTAATACGACGGCCCTGCCAGCGATACCGCCATGATCCCATTTTAGAGTCGACTCAAAAGTTCACTCACCCGAGTAATCATCCAGCGCTGCCCCGCCAGCTGCAGCAACCACCACGTCCCCCGCCGCTGTCTCTCCATTCACAGTCGCATACGCAGCAGAGGGGTAATACGACGGCCCTGCCAGCGATACCGCCATGATCCCATTTTAGAGTCGACTCAAAAGTTCACTCACCCGAGTAATCATCCAGCGCTGCCCCGCCAGCTGCAGCAACCACCACGTCCCCCGCCGCTGTCTCTCCATTCACAGTCGCATACGCAGCAGAGGGGTAATACGACGGCCCTGCCAGCGATACCGCCATGATCCCATTTTAGAGTCGACTCAAAAGTTCACTCACCCGAGTAATCATCCAGCGCTGCCCCGCCAGCTGCAGCAACCACCACGTCCCCCGCCGCTGTCTCTCCATTCACAGTCGCATACGCAAGCAGAGGGGTAATACGACGGCCCTGCCAGCGATACCGCCATGATCCCATTTTAGAGTCGACTCAAAAGTTCACTCACCCGAGTAATCATCCAGCGCTGCCCCGCCAGCTGCAGCAACCACCACGTCCCCCGCCGCTGTCTCTCCATTCACAGTCGCATACGCAGCAGAGGGGTAATACGACGGCCCTGCCAGCGATACCGCCATGATCCCATTTTAGAGTCGACTCAAAAGTTCACTCACCCGAGTAATCATCCAGCGCTGCCCCGCCAGCTGCAGCAAACCACCACGTCCCCCGCCGCTGTCTCTCCATTCACAGTCGCATACGCAGCAGAGGGGTAATACGACGGCCCTGCCAGCGATACCGCCATGATCCCATTTTAGAGTCGACTCAAAAGTTCACTCACCCGAGTAATCATCCAGCGCTGCCCCGCCAGCTGCAGCAACCACCACGTCCCCCGCCGCTGTCTCTCCATTCACAGTCGCATACGCAGCAGAGGGGTAATACGACGGCCCTGCCAGCGATACCGCCATGATCCCATTTTAGAGTCGACTCAAAAGTTCACTCACCCGAGTAATCATCCAGCGCTGCCCCGCCAGCTGCAGCAACCACCACGTCCCCCGCCGCTGTCTCTCCATTCACAGTCGCATACGCAGCAGAGGGGTAATACGACGGCCCTGCCAGCGATACCGCCATGATCCCATTTTAGAGTCGACTCAAAAGTTCACTCACCCGAGTAATCATCCAGCGCTGCCCCGCCAGCTGCAGCAACCACCACGTCCCCCGCCGCTGTCTCTCCATTCACAGTCGCATACGCAGCAGAGGGGTAATACGACGGCCCTGCCAGCGATACCGCCATGATCCCATTTTAGAGTCGACTCAAAAGTTCACTCACCCGAGTAATCATCCAGCGCTGCCCCGCCAGCTGCAGCAACCACCACGTCCCCCGCCGCTGTCTCTCCATTCACAGTCGCATACGCAGCAGAGGGGTAATACGACGGCCCCTGCCAGCGATACCGCCATGATCCCATTTTAGAGTCGACTCAAAAGTTCACTCACCCGAGTAATCATCCAGCGCTGCCCCGCCAGCTGCAGCAACCACCACGTCCCCCGCCGCTGTCTCTCCATTCACAGTCGCATACGCAGCAGAGGGGTAATACGACGGCCCTGCCAGCGATACCGCCATGATCCCATTTTAGAGTCGACTCAAAAGTTCACTCACCCGAGTAATCATCCAGCGCTGCCCCGCCAGCTGCAGCAACCACCACGTCCCCCGCCGCTGTCTCTCCATTCACAGTCGCATACGCAGCAGAGGGGTAATACGACGGCCCTGCCAGCGATACCGCCATGATCCCATTTTAGAGTCGACTCAAAAGTTCACTCACCCGAGTAATCATCCAGCGCTGCCCCGCCAGCTGCAGCAACCACCACGTCCCCCGCCGCTGTCTCTCCATTCACAGTCGCATACGCAGCAGAGGGGTAATACGACGGCCCTGCCAGCGATACCGCCATGATCCCATTTTAGAGTCGACTCAAAAGTTCACTCACCCGAGTAATCATCCAGCGCTGCCCCGCCAGCTGCAGCAACCACCACGTCCCCCGCCGCTTGTCTCTCCATTCACAGTCGCATACGCAGCAGAGGGGTAATACGACGGCCCTGCCAGCGATACCGCCATGATCCCATTTTAGAGTCGACTCAAAAGTTCACTCACCCGAGTAATCATCCAGCGCTGCCCCGCCAGCTGCAGCAACCACCACGTCCCCCCGCCGCTGTCTCTCCATTCACAGTCGCATACGCAGCAGAGGGGTAATACGACGGGCCCTGCCAGCGATACCGCCATGATCCCATTTTAGAGTCGACTCAAAAGTTCACTCACCCGAGTAAATCATCCAGCGCTGCCCCGCCAGCTGCAGCAACCACCACGTCCCCCGCCGCTGTCTCTCCATTCACAGTCGCATACGCAGCAGAGGGGTAATACGACGGCCCTGCCAGCGATACCGCCATGATCCCATTTTAGAGTCGACTCAAAAGTTCACTCACCCGAGTAATCATCCAGCGCTGCCCCGCCAGCTGCAGCAACCACCACGTCCCCCGCCGCTGTCTCTCCATTCACAGTCGCATACGCAGCAGAGGGGTAATACGACGGCCCTGCCAGCGATACCGCCATGATCCCATTTTAGAGTCGACTCAAAAGTTCACTCACCCGAGTAATCATCCAGCGCTGCCCCGCCAGCTGCAGCAACCACCACGTCCCCCGCCGCTGTCTCTCCATTCACAGTCGCATACGCAGCAGAGGGGTAATACGACGGCCCTGCCAGCGATACCGCCATGATCCCATTTTAGAGTCGACTCAAAAGTTCACTCACCCGAGTAATCATCCAGCGCTGCCCCGCCAGCTGCAGCAACCACCACGTCCCCCCGCCGCTGTCTCTCCATTCACAGTCGCATACGCAGCAGAGGGGTAATACGACGGCCCTGCCAGCGATACCGCCATGATCCCATTTTAGAGTCGACTCAAAAGTTCACTCACCCGAGTAATCATCCAGCGCTGCCCCGCCAGCTGCAGCAACCACCACGTCCCCCGCCGCTGTCTCTCCATTCACAGTCGCATACGCAGCAGAGGGGTAATACGACGGCCCTGCCATCGATACCGCCATGATCCCATTTTAGAGTCGACTCAAAAGTTCACTCACCCGAGTAATCATCCAGCGCTGCCCCGCCAGCTGCAGCAACCACCACGTCCCCCGCCGCTGTCTCTCCATTCACAGTCGCATACGCAGCAGAGGGGTAATACGACGGCCCTGCCAGCGATACCGCCATGATCCCATTTTAGAGTCGACTCAAAAGTTCACTCACCCGAGTAATCATCCAGCGCTGCCCCGCCAGCTGCAGCAACCACCACGTCCCCCGCCGCTGTCTCTCCATTCACAGTCGCATACGCAGCAGAGGGGTAATACGACGGCCCTGCCAGCGATACCGCCATGATCCCATTTTAGAGTCGACTCAAAAGTTCACTCACCCGAGTAATCATCCAGCGCTGCCCCGCCAGCTGCAGCAACCCACCACGTCCCCCGCCGCTGTCTCTCCATTCACAGTCGCATACGCAGCAGAGGGGTAATACGACGGCCCTGCCAGCGATACCGCCATGATCCCATTTTAGAGTCGACTCAAAAGTTCACTCACCCGAGTAATCATCCAGCGCTGCCCCGCCAGCTGCAGCAACCACCACGTCCCCCGCCGCTGTCTCTCCATTCACAGTCGCATACGCAGCAGAGGGGTAATACGACGGCCCTGCCAGCGATACCGCCATGATCCCATTTTAGAGTCGACTCAAAAGTTCACTCACCCGAGTAATCATCCAGCGCTGCCCCCGCCAGCTGCAGCAACCACCACGGTCCCCCGCCGCTGTCTCTCCATTCACAGTCGCATACGCAGCAGAGGGGTAATACGACGGCCCTGCCAGCGATACCGCCATGATCCCATTTTAGAGTCGACTCAAAAGTTCACTCACCCGGAGTAATCATCCAGCGCTGCCCCGCCAGCTGCAGCCAACCACCACGTCCCCCGCCGCTGTCTCTCCATTCACAGTCGCATACGCAGCAGAGGGGTAATACGACGGCCCTGCCAGCGATACCGCCATGATCCCATTTTAGAGTCGACTCAAAAGTTCACTCACCCGAGTAATCATCCAGCGCTTGCCCCGCCAGCTTGCAGCAACCACCACGTCCCCGCCGCTGTCTCTCCATTCACAGTCGCATACGCAGCAGAGGGGTAATACGACGGCCCTGCCAGCGATACCGCCATGATCCCATTTTAGAGTCGACTCAAAAGTTCACTCACCCGAGTAATCATCCAGCGCTGCCCCGCCAGCTGCAGCAACCACCACGTCCCCCCGCCGCTGTCTCTCCATTCACAGTCGCATACGCAGCAGAGGGGTAATACGACGGCCCTGCCAGCGATACCGCCATGATCCCATTTTAGAGTCGACTCAAAAGTTCACTCACCCGAGTAATCATCCAGCGCTGCCCCGCCAGCTGCAGCAACCACCACGTCCCCCGCCGCTGTCTCTCCATTCACAGTCGCATACGCAGCAGAGGGGTAATACGACGGCCCTGCCAGCGATACCGCCATGATCCCATTTTAGAGTCGACTCAAAAGTTCACTCACCCGAGTAATCATCCAGCGCTGCCCCGCCAGCTGCAGCAACCACCACGTCCCCCGCCGCTGTCTCTCCATTCACAGTCGCATACGCAGCAGAGGGGTAATACGACGGCCCTGCCAGCGATACCGCCATGATCCCATTTTAGAGTCGACTCAAAAGTTCACTCACCCGAGTAATCATCCAGCGCTGCCCCGCCAGCTGCAGCAACCACCACGTCCCCCGCCGCTGTCTCTCCATTCACAGTCGCATACGCAGCAGAGGGGTAATACGACGGCCCTGCCAGCGATACCGCCATGATCCCATTTTAGAGTCGACTCAAAAGTTCACTCACCCGAGTAATTCATCCAGCGCTGCCCCGCCAGCTGCAGCAACCACCACGTCCCCCCGCCGCTGTCTCTCCATTCACAGTCGCATACGCAGCAGAGGGGTAATACGACGGCCCTGCCAGCGATACCGCCATGATCCATTTTAGAGTCGACTCAAAAGTTCACTCACCCGAGTAATCATCCAGCGCTGCCCCGCCAGCTGCAGCAACCACCACGTCCCCCGCCGCTGTCTCTCCATTCACAGTCGCATACGCAGCAGAGGGGTAATACGACGGCCCTGCCAGCGATACCGCCATGATCCCATTTTAGAGTCGACTCAAAAGTTCACTCACCCGAGTAATCATCCAGCGCTGCCCGCCAGCTGCAGCAACCACCACGTCCCCCGCCGCTGTCTCTCCATTCACAGTCGCATACGCAGCAGAGGGGTAATACGACGGCCCTGCCAGCGATACCGCCATGATCCCATTTTAGAGTCGACTCAAAAGTTCACTCACCCGAGGTAATCATCCAGCGCTGCCCCGCCAGCTGCAGCAACCACCACGTCCCCGCGCCGCTGTCTCTCCATTCACAGTCGCATACGCAAGCAGAGGGGTAATACGACGGCCCTGCCAGCGATACCGCCATGATCCCATTTTAGAGTCGACTCAAAAGTTCACTCACCCGAGTAATCATCCAGCGCTGCCCCGCCAGCTGCCAGCAACCACCACGTCCCCCGCGCTGTCTCTCCATTCACAGTCGCATACGCAGCAGAGGGGTAATACGACGGCCCCTGCCAGCGATACCGCCATGATCCCATTTTAGAGTCGACTCAAAAGTTCACTCACACCCGAGTAATCATCCAGCGCCTGCCCCCGCCAGCTGCAGCAACCACCACGGTCCCCCGCCGCTGTTGCTCTCCATTCACAGTCGCATACGCAGCAGAGGGGTAATACGACGGCCCTGCCAGCGATACCGCCATGATCCCATTTTAGAGTCGACTCAAAAGTTCACTCACCCGAGTAAATCATCCAGCGCTGCCCCGCCAGCTGCAGCAACCACCACGTCCCCCGCCGTGCTGTCTCTCCAGTTCACAGTCGCATACGCAGCAGAGGGGTAATACGACGGCCCTGCCAGCGATTACCGCCATGATCCCATTTTGAGAGTCGACTCAAAAAGTCACGTCACCCGAGTAATCATCCAGCGCTGCCCCGCCAAGCTGCAGCAACCACCACGTCCCCCGCCGCTGTCTCTCTCTCCATTCACAGTCACATACGCAAGCAGAGGGGTAATACGACGGCCCTGACCAGCGAGTACCCGACATGATCCCATTTTAGAGTCGACTCAAAAGTTCACTCACCGAGTAATCATCCAGCGCTGCCCCGCCAGCTTGCAGCAACCACCACGTCCCCCGCCGCTGTCTCTCCATTCACAGTCGCATACGCAGCAGAGGGGTAATACGACGGCCCTGCCAGCGATACCGCCATGATCCCATTTTAGAGTCGACTCAAAAGTTCACTCACCCGAGTAATCATCCAGCGCTGCCCCGCCAGCTGCAGCAACCACCACGTCCCCCGCCGCTGTCTCTCCATTCACAGTCGCATACGCAGCAGAGGGGTAATACGACGGCCCTGCCAGCGATACCGCCATGATCCCATTTTAGAGTCGACTCAAAAGTTCACTCACCCGAGTAATCATCCAGCGCTGCCCCGCCAGCTGCAGCAACCACCACGTCCCCCGCCGCTGTCTCTCCATTCACAGTCGCATACGCAGCAGAGGGGTAATACGACGGCCCTGCCAGCGATACCGCCATGATCCCCATTTTAGAGTCGACTCAAAAGTTCACTCACCCGAGTAATCATCCAGCGCTGCCCCCGCCAGCTGCAGCAACCACCACGTCCCCCGCCGCTGTTCTCTCCATTCACAGTCGCATACGCAGCAGAGGGGTAATACGACGGCCCTGCCAGCGATACCGCCATGATCCCATTTTAGAGTCGACTCAAAAGTTCACTCACCCGAGTAATCATCCAGCGCTGCCCCGCCAGCTGCAGCAACCACCACGTTCCCCCGCCGCTGTCTCTCCATTCACAGTCGCATACGCAGCAGAGGGGTAATACGACGGCCCTGCCAGCGATACCGCCATGATCCCATTTTAGAGTCGACTCAAAAGTTCACTCACCCGAGTAATCATCCAGCGCTGCCACGCCAGCTGCAGCAACCACCACTGTCCCCCCGCCGCTGTCTCTCCATTCACAGTCGCATACGCAGCAGAGGGGTAATACGACGGCCCTGCCAGCGATACCGCCATGATCCCATTTTAGAGTCGACTCAAAAGTTCACTCACCCGAGTAATCATCCAGCGCTGCCCCGCCAGCTGCAGCAACCACCACGTCCCCCGCCGCTGTCTCTCCATTCACAGTCGCATACGCAGCAGAGGGGTAATACCGACGGCCCTGCCAGCGATACCGCCATGATCCCATTTTAGAGTCGACTCAAAAGTTCAACTCACCCGAGTAATCATCCAGCGCTGCCCCGCCAGCTGCAGCAACCACCACGTCCCCCGCCGCTGTCTCTCCATTCACAGTCGCATACGCAGCAGAGGGGTAATACGACGGCCCTGCCAGCGATACCGCCATGATCCCATTTTAGAGTCGACTCAAAAGTTCACTCACCCAGAGTAATCATCCAGCGCTGCCCCGCCAGCTGCAGCAACCACCACGTCCCCCGCCGCTGTCTCTCCATTCACAGTCGCATACGCAGCAGAGGGGTAATACGACGGCCCCTGCCAGCGATACCGCCATGATCCCATTTTAGAGTCGACTCAAAAGTTCACTCACCCGAGTAATCATCCAGCGCTGCCCCGCCAGCTGCAGCAACCACCACGTCCCCCGCCGCTGTCTCTCCATTCACAGTCGCATACGCAGCAGAGGGGTAATACGACGGCCCTGCCAGCGATACCGCCATGATCCCATTTTAGAGTCGACTCAAAAGTTCACTCACCCGAGTAATCATCCCAGCGCTGCCCCGCCAGCTGCAGCAACCACCACGTCCCCCGCCGCTGTTTCTCCCATTCACAGTCGCATACGCAGCAGAGGGGTAATACGACGGCCCTGCCAGCGATACCGCCATGATCCCATTTTAGAGTCGACTCAAAAGTTCACTCACCCGAGTAATCACCAGCGCTGCCCCGCCAGCTGCAGCAACCACCACGTCCCCCGCCGCTGTCTCTCCATTCACAGTCGCATACGCAGCAGAGGGGTAATACGACGGCCCTGCCAGCGATACCGCCATGATCCCATTTTTAGAGTCGACTCAAAAGGTCACTCACCCGACGTAATCATCCAGCGCTGCCCCGCCAGCTGCAGCAGCAACCACCACGTCCCCCGCCGCTGTCTCTCCATTCACAGTCGCATACGCAGCAGAGGGGTAATACGACGGCCCTGCCAGCGATACCGCCATGATCCCATTTTAGAGTCGACTCAAAGTTCACTCACCCGAGTAATCATCCAGCGCTGCCCCGCCAGCTGCAGCAACCACCACGTCCCCCCGCCGCTGTCTCTCCATTCACAGTCGCATACGCAGCAGAGGGGGTAATACGACGGCCCTGCCAGCGATACCGCCATGATCCCATTTTAGAGTCGACTCAAAAGTTCACTCACCCGAGTAATCATCCAGCGCTCGCCCCGCAGCTGCAGCAACCACCACGGTCCCCCGCCGCTGTCTCTCCATTCACAGTCGCATACGCAAGCAGAGGGTAATACGACGGCCCTGCCAGCGATACCGCCATGATCCCATTTTAGAGTCGACTCAAAAGTTCACTCACCCGAGTAATCATCCAGCGCTGCCCCGCCAGCTGCAGCAACCACCACGTCCCCCGCCGCTGTCTCTCCATTCACAGTCGCATACGCAGCAGAGGGGTAATACGACGGCCCTGCCAGCGATACCGCCCATGATCCCATTTTAGAGTCGACTCAAAAGTTCACTCACCCGAGTAATCATCCAGCGCTGCCCCGCCAGCTGCAGCAACCACCACGTCCCCCGCCGCTGTCTCTCCATTCACAGTCGCATACGCAGCAGAGGGGTAATACGACGGCCCTGCCAGCGATACCCGCCATGATCCCATTTTAGAGTCGACTCAAAAGTTCACTCACCCGAGTAATCATCCAGCGCTGCCCCGCCAGCTGCAGCAACCACCACGTCCCCCGCCGCTGTCTCTCCATTCACAGTCGCATACGCAGCAGAGGGTAATACGACGGCCCTGCCAGCGATACCGCCATGATCCCATTTTAGAGTCGACTCAAAAGTTCACTCACCGAGTAATCATCCAGCGCTGCCCCGCCAGCTGCAGCAAACCACCACGTCCC